AGAGAGAGGGAGAGAGAGAGAGGGGGAGAGAGAGAGACTGAGAGAGACACAGAGAGAGGGGGGAGAGAGAGAGACTGAGAGAGAGAGAGAGAAGACCATTATAATCACATGCAATTAGCCTAAAGGTGTGATAACTATATAGTAAGCTACAGCTAGTCATGCTCCTATCCTCGTCTTGTTGAGTGTGCTTGCGTGACATTAGATTAAAATTGCACCTTGTGCTGATTCTGTTTTGGGTATTGTCGTGTGTTTGCTCTTTTTGAAGTTGTTGATCTTTCTCTCTCTCTCTCTCCCTCTGTGTGTGTGTGTGTATGTGTGTGTGTGTGTGGTATATACCAGCTTGAGGTAGGTGATTTGGCATATATTTGTATTGACTGGTATGAATGGCATCCAGACTTACTGACTCCAGCTTACTATTTGATAATTAATGGTTTCTTTCCTCTTTCTCTCTGTCTCTGTCTCTCTCTCTCTCTCTCTCTCAGGAAACAAGCACTATTATGGGCTATGGGTGACCTTGAAAGAGCCAAGTACGAGAGGTCCAGGGTGGGCGGAGACATGAGCATCAAAGGCCAGCTCAGCAAGTTGGAGTACGAACTTAAAATGGACAAAGAAAAGGCCGAAATGATAAAGATGGACCAAGAGGACCAGATACGCTCCGGACTTGAGAAAGTACGCACCATACATGTATTATTTAAATTGGCGGAATATACATGTACATGTACATGTGTACATGTAGATTATATTATACATATGTGCATGTATTTTTTTACTTTTAGTTTGTTATGAGTGACATTGACGTGTTGCCTGGTTACGATGACCACACCCACCACCACACCCACCACCATCATCACCCCGCCATGACCCAGGGAGATCACCTTAACCAGATCAAACACAAGAGGATTGCAATTTCCTCCGGAGGCGGGGGCAGTACCACCATGGGGGTCACCGGCCACGTAAAACCAATGTCTACCAGGTAAGCTTAATTAATTAAAGGGGTGTGGTCTAATTAATATTCATAGGGAGGTCGTATCTACTCACGGGGTTGCATCTAGGACTCGTTCTCATGTAATGGACCAATCAAAGTAGGTCGAAGTCATTTCTTTTTTTTATCATGAAAATTGTAACGTCTTTTTAGGGTTTCCCATCACTCGCTCGTGACGCTGCCAGTTTCTCCTTCAGCCCAACCCAATCTTATGCGTGGGCGTATGCCACATTCATATATGGCCCAGTCCCAGTTGCCGGGGGTTAGGGGGTCGTCCTCTTCCTCCGTCCAGCCTACGGTCGTCATTCGGGCGTAAGTTTTTTAAAATTATTTTTTGATAAATTTTTGTTTTTATAATTGCATCCACGGGTACTTGATTGTCATTCGATATATGAATTTTAGGAATCTTAAAAATTGTTTTTTTGGCCTGACGCAAAGTTTTTATAATGTACAACACTGCCAGTATACATGTACATGTACATGTAATATATTTTTATTATTATTATCAACAATATATTTATGTGTACATGTACATGTATATTTGTGCATGTATATGTATTATTTTTTGTTGTGTAACTGTTTTGTGTGAAAATAGTATTCTTGTTTACATGTATTGTTAATCTATTGAGGGTCATCATGAATTATGTCTAATATGCCACACCTGGTGATTCTAACCGCCTTTATAAAATGTGCAACTCCACTCTCTCTCTCTCTCTCTCTCTCTCTCTCTCTCTCTCTCCCTCTCTCTCTCTCTCCCTCTCTCTCTTCCTTTTTTCCCTTTGTCTATAAGCAGTATGTCATATGTGGTTGCTAGTAGTCTGGGTTGTTGTCTGTCTCTTTGATCTATTTATACTTGTCTTTAGTACCTGGTTATCTGTTTCTCTTTTATAATCTTCCCCTCACTGTCTCTCTTTAATTCCTTTGTCTGTCTTTCTTAATTTGTCTAGTCTCACCTTGTTCCTCTCTTTCAAAGAGAAAGAGAGAGAGAGGGGAAGGCCATGAAACATGTCTTATATGATCCTTCTTATTTTTTCCTACCTCCTTCCTTCTCCCCCCCCCCTCTCTCTCTCTCTCTCTCTTGAGGTGTTTTGCTTCATTTTAAGTTATGCCACATCAGGTTATCCTTGTTTAGTCTCCTGCCCACAGATGAAAGTTGTCATTATTACATTATAATATCCTCCACTGTCATCTCATAGCCGATACACACACGCCACCATTCACACAACACCCACATGTACATATACACGTAGGTGTCCATCATATAGAGGCTACTGTACTTAACCCAGCTTTCCATTTTAAGCTCTGATCAGGTCCAATTTCTTTACTGTATAAAATAACCTCCACATAAAGGACGTCTCTGTATAACAGAGACACTTTCTTGCCCCCAAAGTCTCCATTATATAGAGGCTACTAGTAACACAGTACTTAAACCTAGCTTTCCATTTTAAGCTTTCTTAGCTCCAATCTCTTTATTATTTACATGTAGTGTGTGTTTACTCCAAGTTATTTGTCTCTGTACATGTAATTAGGGGATTTAGACTTTACGATCAAAGCCACACTTAATATACACACATTTGGGTTACAGTTGCACTATAAGCATGTACATGTAAAGAAATACGCAAGTACATGTACATACACATTTATGTATATAATTTATTAAATAAATACGTACATGTGTAGTTGTACATGTACATATACGTGTACATATTCCTGTCTATTGTATAGTAATTGTGTGTGTTTGTATGGGGTACAGGAAGCTGCGGACGAGTTTTCATAGTAAATAGAGGCACCATGCAGGACCAATTGAAATCCAATTATATTCTTAGTAATTGTGTTATAATTGTAAGCAAGTGTAACTGATTTAAACAATGTACTAAACTACAGCTAAGCGTATACACTACATCCTGATTATTACTTAACACTCAAGTAATTACAGTCAAACCTGTCTATTCCGGACACCTTGTGACCAAATAAAACTGTCCTTATTAAAGAGGTGTCCTTATTTCAGAGGTTCATTAATACACATTACTATTGTATTGTGACTGATACTGCCTGTCCTCATTATAGAGGTGTCCTTATTTTAGAGTGTCCACAATAGGAAGTTTCACTGTATGTATATTTAAAAGATACTGTATACTATTATGTTCTATTATATTTATCTGTCTATTTTTAACTCAAACACACATACATGTACATGTATATGTATTCCATATGTATGCATTTTTATTAATAGTTTAGTAAAAGTTTATATATTACCTATTACTTACATCCTTACTGTTCATGTATACTAAATTACTGGGACATGAGGATACTGTATGATTAGGCAGCTACAAGGGGAGATAAGTCAAAACATGGTGGGGGCCGGGGTACTGGAAAGTGCCCCCATATACATCCTTAACCAGCTAATTTTGAACTATATACGTGTATAGTGCAAGTACATGTACTGTACATAATTCTTGACTATTTTGTGGGTGTATTAACATATACTTGCACCTTATGATGTACGTGTGAATTATCTTAAATTTTATTCATAGCTAGTCTTTAGTGATTAAAGCCATTTCTTGGTAGAATGCATTAGATCATTCTGTGACTTTATTTCAAGTTTATTTGCCCTCCATAAACTCTTATGCTGTATATAGTCTGGTATTCTTCATCACTGTGTCTGATAGACTGTTATATTGGTGTACATGTACGTGCAGTTGTCTCATCATGGGGTGTGTGGCTTGGGGAGGACTTCTCTTCTCCTTATCAAAACTGGTAGCGATGGACACCTCCCCTAAACCCTTTGAATGTATTCTTTTGATCTATGCATATGTACATGTACATGTAAACCCTTTGAATGTACTTACTGAATATGATATACATGTACATGTACATGTATATCCTTTCAATGTATTCTTTGTATTATTATAATGATGTACTATGTACATATATACATGTGTGTGTGTGTGTGTGTGTGTGTGTGTATTTTCCAACCACATTCCTTTGGTAAGTGCTGTGTCCTGCTCGTGTGCTGACTGTGTGAGAACGTCTGCCATGTGTTACTATGGTGAACCCTATTGATAGTCTGCCCACAATGATATTAAGAGAGCAAATCTAATAATGGAGATACACTGTACATGATACCTTATTATTATTACTATTATTATGTATATTACCTTAATTATTATTATTATGTATATACTACATGTGTGCTGTATAGTCTTCTTCACTTCTTATAAGCAGTACAGTGAAACCTCTTATTGTGGACACTCTAAAATAAGGAGGCCTCTATAATGAGGACAGGCAGTATCAGTCCCAATACAATAGTAATGTGTATTAATGAACCTCTAAAATAAGGAGACCTCTTTAATATAAGGGCAGTTTTATTGGGTCCCAAGGTGTCCGAAATAGGCAGGTTTGACTGTAATTGTAATGTGATTTTGTACATAAATGCTGAAACACATGTAAATGTACATGTACATATATTGTATGTTTAAAAGACTTATTTTATCCCATATTTGGTTAAAGGCCCTCATTTTCAGCTAGACTGCTCTCACAAAATGTACATGTATGTGTTCTTTTGGTATATATAGGCAGTTATTTATTTATTTATTTGTAATTATTATTATTATTATTTAATTCATTTTAAATTGATTATGTCTATTAAAACCACATTAATGGTATTTAGTGTGACTGCCCCAGGGCACCAATCAAAACCAGGCACTGCACTGCACTGTTATGTGTTATGTAACTGATGAGAAGGATTATGATTTTGTGGCTTCAAGGACGGCTCTTCTTTATGATAATAATTATGAATATTATGTATTTGAATATGTATTTTGTCTGTGTGTGTGTGTGTGTGTCTGTGTCTGAAGTATAGACAGGAGGTGTGCTATCTTATTCAAATGAATTTTTGTGAACTTATATCATCATTAAATCATCAGATATATTTTAACCACTTCCTTTTTTAATCCTTTTCTCTCTTTCTCTCTCTCTAGTCCAACAAATCTTCGTGCTACTTCTCGTGTGACTCACGGCCACCCTCCCATCGCCGTGGCAACCGGAGGGCGTCGCTCTTGAGCGCTCCTTGCCAGATTTTGGAACATTGTCCAGTTTCCTTCTCCTTTTTTGTCGTCTTTTTCAAGTAAAATAAAAACTGTTTTTGTGACCGATAAAAACACAATTCAAAATGTCCTCTGACTTCTCTCTTTATCCTATAATGCATTTGTCCTTATTATTATTATTGTTATTATTATTATTATTGTTATTATTATTATTATTGTTATTATTATTATTATTGTTATTATTGTTATTATTGTTATTTTTTTTCGACTTGGCATAATTTTTTGCTTAAAATGATCGACCCCTCCCACTCTCCCTCCTCCCCTTTTTTCATTTTCTATTGCATTCATTTTCATCATTGTTCATATTATTATTATTATTATTATTATTATTATTATTGTTTTTTGTTGTTTCACGCCCACTCTATTTCGTCTTTTGTTTTAGTTTTTGGCATAATTAATTAACGTGACAATCATTTTTCAAAATTTTACTTTTCCTTTTTTTTCTGTACGACTTTATTAATTTTTGTGATATTCCCCCCCTTTTGTTTTAACCAATAAAATTTTTTGTGTCAACCCCAAATAAGTTTATGATACAAGGCGGAAATGAAATGTTTGATTTTATCTAGAAGTGTTTCTGCTAGCAGAACCAGCTGGTATTGAGGGAAGTTGCAGATAATTGTCTTTTAACTTTTCTTTGGAAAGAATCTCTGACCCGAAGTGGTGATCGTTTTTTGCGTGGGCGTCGCATCCAAAATGATCGTAAAGTGGGTGGGGCTCCGTGTCCGCAACGGTCACGTGACTGATTTCCGAGAGAGCCTGAGCTATTTTCATCATTGATTTGAGATAAGAGACCTTTTCAAGAAATAAAAATTAATAATTAAGGCTGGGGTTACCTGATTTTTATCTTCTGCCTCGTTTTCCGTGGCTTTAAGGAGAGCTAGTTCTTGCATGTGTCGCACAATGTCGCTTATCTCTTCCTCGCTATAATCCCATTTGCCTGGGGGCTGAGAAGAAAAGAGCGCAGGAGAAATAGCTCTAAATCTCTTCCTATAAAAGACTATATTTAATGCTTGTCTCCGCCATAATGAGGCGGCCATTTTGGTACCGTAATAATTTTATTTAAACGTCATATCCTGCAATTCTATTTTATCAAATAAAAATGGCAGCCAAAACGGATTCTGATAGTAGCACTCCTTCTGTCCGGAGCAAAGCCGCGTATACTGTTTTAAGGTTCATAGGAGACAGTATTAAAGATGATTCCACAAGTGACGACTCTAAAGAAAGTCTGGAAGGTGCACAGTCTGCAGATTTTGCTTATTTTATTATTTATTTATTTATTTATTTATATTATTTTTTCTGTATTTTTGTTGCTAGTTGCTATGGAGTGTCTCCAGGCTGTTTTTGGTATGAATTTGGACGAGGCGGAAAATAACGATACCTATAAAAAACTACCGTCACTTCAGGTGCATGTACATGTATAATTATTAATTAACATGTGTTAAGTACAATAAAAAATAATGGAATATATTTTTAAAATTGATTAATTTTTTATTTATTAGTCTTTGATTGAAAATGGTCTTTCTGACGACGAGAAGCACGTTGAAGCTGAAAGACTAAAGAACGAAGGTTTCTTTTAAATCCATTGCTACCTTTTTTATCCACCTGCTGCTCTCCCTCTCTCTCTCTCTCTCTCTCTCAGGTAATACAAAGTTAAAAAATGAGCAGTATAATGAAGCCATATCACTTTATACAAGAGCAATTACTCTGTCTCCTTCTAATCCACCATACTATGCCAACAGGTCAGTTTCATCTTGGAGCTATTGGCTTTATGTAGTGTCTTTATACTCTGGGTTTTTCCGCAAAGATTTTGGCGGTTGAAATGCCAAAATTCTGAAAAATACCCAAGGCTATAGCCCATGGTTTTTTCCAAAAAATGGCTCCAGAATCACCTCCAATTTTTATTACATTTTCTGATACATATTGATGTCCTTATGCTGTGTAGAAAGTTTGAGCCGATTCCGACTTCAATTTTTCAAGTTACAGCCATTTTAAGAAAATGCCAAAAATCTGAAAAGTACCCAAGGCTATAGCCCATGGTTTTTTCCAAAAAATGGCTAAAAAATGACCCCCAATTTTTATTACATTTTCTGATACACATTGATGTCCTTATGCTGTGTAGAAAGTTTGAGCTGATTCCGACTTCAATTTTTTGAGTTACGGCCGTTTTAAGAAAACGTCAAAATTCTGAAAAATATCCAAGGCTATAGCCCATGCTTTTTTACAAAAAATGACTAAAAATGATCACCAATTTTTATTAAATTTTCTGATACATATTGATGCCCTTATGCTATGTAGCAAGTTTGAGCCGATTCAGATAAAAAATTTTCAAGTTATGACCAATTAAAAAAAACAGAGCAATTTTGAATTTTTGAAAAAAGGCAATACTATAGTCCTAAAAATAGTAACGTGTTGTTCCCTCATTCTTCAGAGCTGCTGCTTACATTAAAATTGAAGAGCTACATAAAGCACTTGACGACTGTCAAACTGCTGTTGGCCTGAAACCTGATTATGCTAGGGCACATGGACGCATGGGGTAACCTGGTCATTATATAACCTGTCCTTTTAATGAGGGTATTTCAGTTTTATTTACAGTAAACTATCACGCACTCAAGAAGCAAGAGCATCTTATCAGAAGGTAAGAGAGAAGGAGGGAGAGAGGGGGAAGAGGGAGAGAGAGAGAGAGAGGAGGGAGAAAGGAGATTAGAAAAGAAAGAACAGGAAAGTGATTGAAAGGAAGAGTGGGAGAAAGTACCAGCTGGAATTTGTCAACCCCACAATGTTTATTGTGTAAATAGACTAAATACATTGCACAGATACCATGTATCTATTAACTTTATTAATCATAATGATAAATGCTCATTATAAACTTTATTATTATTATTATTATTTATAACTATTATTTTGTAGGCTGTAGAATGTGATCCCAATAATTTAGAATACAAATCAGCATTACAGGGATTAGTAGAGGCTCCATCGGCAAGTCAAGTGAGATCAGTCCTATTTGCTTAGTCTGTTTGATTGTTATCGTTATTAGGCCCCGCCCATGCCAGGGGGAGGTGCACAAATGCCGTTTGATATTAACAACTTGTTATCTAATCCTGGTTTTATGAATTTGGTTAGAAACTTTTATCATATTTAAATATTATTTTGATTTCTCTCCTCCTCCTCCTTAGGCTTCATCAGTAATGTCCAACCCAATGTTTCAGAATATGTCAGTCATTTTACTTAATTTCTAATTAACATCACACTCTATCTCTAGGGCAACAAGGATGTTTCAACAAGCCCCACCCCCTGGACAAGCTCCGCCCTTTGGTCAACAGCAACAGCAGCAGGCTCCGCCCACTGGTCAGCCAGGAGAAGGAGGAGCAGAGGCTGATCCTAGTTCCAATCCCAATCCCCCACCACCTGGAGCTGGTCCCCTTCCTCCTCCTTTTCTAGGAATGAATTTTGCCACTATGATGTGAGGATTTTGAATATTTTATTATTATACTATATATTTAAGCATTTTTCTGGGTCTGCTACAGTAGCTAACTTTGCAAATTTTGAGAAAAAAATACAAAATTTTAACTTTAAAAGTTTTACTTTTCTACTAAAGTTTTACTCTTCTACTATTAAGCCATGGAAGGCAAAGGTGCTTTTGCAAAAATAAAATTGAGTTTGATAGCTATTTGCAAAAATTTTGGACCCCAAAAAGTTTCTTTAACAAATAAGTATGTGGTGTAAATGTATAAATGTATATATATTTTTTACTAATAATGAATGAACTTTGCTGTTAAAATTATAAAGAAACTCTTTCTCTTTTCAGGCCACATATAGCTGAGATGGGTAGACAAATGCAGGAAAGAGATCCAGTTGCATTTGAAGACTTTCGTCAGCGTGCGTCCGCTCAATTTGCTGCTACACACAACGACGAACCAACACCTCCAAAAGACAAAGACGATAAAAAATAGGCGAAATAATAGCAGCTGTGCCAAATGCTCAGTTCCCGCCGCTTAAATTTAATTCCTCGTTTTGATTTATGTATAACCTTTTGACTGTTTAATAATCTTTGTATTGTATGTGTCGATTTATTATAATGTAAAATAAAGGAATGATATTCATAATGATTGCGTGATGCTAGCCATGTTTAAGATAAGACCTCTCACTTGGGAATAGGAAGGGCAGGAATGATGGCTTTAAATGATGAATTTGCTTTGTTGAGCTCTATTCACGGCCAATAGGTGAAAAGGAGGGCGTTACGGCTTGCTCCGTCTCTCTCATAAATTTTGGAACAGGAGAGGCCCTTGTAGAAAGCTCTCCTCTTGAAGGAAGATGCCGTTGAAACAGCAACTTTGCGCCTTGCTGGCTTTCTGCTGCATCAGTGAGCTACAAATTAACACGTTTATCACATTTTTTTATATTTCTCTTTCTCTCTCCCCTTCCTTAGCTCTCTCCATTGCTCAAAATGACCCCTTATTAACTATAGCTTCAGGTCCTGAGGACCCGCCGTTCACGGTAGGTTCCGTCCTTACCTTATCTTGCAGTCTGATAGATCCTGATGTGGATGACATCAGCTTTGAATGGATAGCAGAGTGTCCTCCAAATTATGAATGCTTCTCTGGAAACTTTACTCAAAACATATCAACTCTTTCAAGGGATACTGTCCCAGTTCTTACCTCAGTCGACACAGGGAATTACAGTTGTTTTGTAACGTATAATGATGGTAATGAAACTGATGAAACTACAATTGAAGTAAAAGCAACAGGTATTGTTATTTTATATAGCAGTTATATATTTCATGAATCATTTCTTTGAATTCTGTAGGAGTTGGTGTCTACGAAGGAGCTAGTGGCATTACTGTCAATGATGGAATGAATTTCATAGCTAATCCTAGTGGCGTCTTGTCACTAGAGCTTCATTGTATAGGAGCTAGTGGCTCTGGAAACTGGACCAATACTCAAGGCTTGGAACCCACCGATGACACTCTATTTGATATCACCGAGGCTTTTGAGAGTACCATAATGACGGTGAATGGTATACTTACTCGTAATCTTGAGGGATACTATACTTGTGATGCTGAAGATGAAAATGAGGTGGTAGACTCCATAAGAGTTGGTCTCTTTCTAAATGAACCAGGTAATATAATATGCATGGATGGAGGCATGCATTTAGATCTAGCATGGATGTAACATGTGATACTCTTAATCCTCTTACTCTCTCTCTCTCTCTTTTTTAGGTCCTCCACTTTCTGCTACATTGTCAGTTGACCAGAACCCAGTTCTTCTTGGCTCTACTGTTACTCTTGAATGCTTTGTACCAGACATGAACCAGCTTTCACCTCAACTAGTCTATTCATGGTTGCTCAATGGGTCTGCATTGTCTCTATACAATACCAGTTCCATTAGTATTACTTTGACTGATCCTGAACAGTTTGGGAATTATGCTTGCTATGTTAGCAACTCTTTTGGATCAGAAATGGATACTCTATTCCTTCAACGAGCTTGTAAGTGGTATGGGCTTATAATTGCTAGTGCATGGTTCTGCTGAAAGCAAAGATAATTTGCTATTTTTATTTCAATGTTTATGTGTTTAATAATTTTTTTTTTTGACTTATTGTTATTGGCACTGAAAAATACCTTTTCATCTTTTAGCTTATTTTATTGCTTATAAAGGTTCATCTCATAATTCTTGTATTTCTTTTTTTAATAGTCGTACCTACTGTATCCTCTCAAATGATGAACTATGTAGTTGACGAGAATTCTACAGTTACATTCCAGTGTACTGGTACTGGCGTTCCAGAACCAGATATTACCTGGTATAGGAACGGAGTACCTATTACTGATACTAGATTCAGTGAATTAACTGAATCTATGCTTGATTCATCCTCATTGATATACAGTGTCAATGGATCACTGACACTTAATAATGCATATAATACTGATACTGATACTGGGTATAGCTGTACTGCTACTAACACTTTTGGTAATGCAAGTGATTCATTTGGCCTCGCTGTTAATTGTAAGTTGAGCTTCAACTGATGCAAAAATGAATTGATTTTTTCTTTTTACAGTTGGCACAAGATTATTAACAGCTCCAATGGATCAAACAGTTACTGAGTTTAGCAGCATATCACTGTATTGTACTGTTTCTGGATATGAGAGACCTACCATTAGTTGGACCTTCTCTAACACTCTTCTCTCTAATGGAACTGATGGTGTCATTATACAGGAGATGATGAATGGCAACTATGAACTGACTAGTAATATAACATTGACTAATGTCGATAGATCAAGTGCTGGTACTTATCAATGTACTGGTAGCAATCCATTGAATGATGTCACTGCAAATGCATTATTAACTGTTAACTGTAAGTTGTAATTTTTAACATTCATTTTTTAATTTTCCTTGCAGTTATTCCTGACATTACTGAGTTGCCTGCTAATATTACAGTAATTCAACCAGTAGCAGCTCAATTTAACTGTTCAGCTAATGCAATACCTCAACCAACAATACAATGGATAAAAAATGGAGCTACTCTATCATCAAATGCTAAATACACTATTACAACAACTAGCAGTACTTCTACTGATAGATCTAGTACACTAACAATACTTGATTCTACTCCATTAGATGCTGATGATTATTATTGCTCTGTTACTAACAGTGTAAAGACTGTCACTGCTTCAGCTACTCTAACTGTTCATGTTGTCCCTACTGTAATATCACAATCACCCACCTACACAGTTGATGAGAATTCTACGATTATATTCCAGTGTACTGGTACTGGTGTTCCAGAACCAAATATTGCCTGGTATAGGAATGGAGCTCTTATTACTGATTCTAGATTCACTGAAATGACTGATCCAGCTTCACTCAATTCATCTTCATTGATATATAGTGTCAATGGATCACTGACACTTACTAATGCATATGATACTGATACTGATACTGGGTATAGCTGTTCTGCTAATAACACTGCTAGTACTGTAAGTGATTCATTTGGCCTTACTGTTAACTGTAAGTTAATGCACTTAAATACCAAATTAGATTTATTTTCTTTACCTTTTGCAGTTGGGACTAGATTATTAACTGGCCCTACTGATCTAACAGTAACTGAGTTTAGCAATGCAACATTCAGCTGTACTGTATCTGGATATGAGAGACCATCTATTGAATGGAGCTTCATGGAACAGAGTTCTAATGCTCCATTTTCTTCCCTCTCCAATAATGCTAATGGTGCCATTATAAAAGAGATGACAAGTGGTAGTTATGAGCTCACTAGCACTTTAACACTGACTAATATCAGTGAATTAGCTGCAGGTGTTTATAGATGTACTGGTAGTAATCCATTGGCAAATATCAGTGCAGAAGCTACACTAACTGTTAACTGTAAGTTAAGGACTTTTACTATCTAGATTCTACTTCATTTTTACAGTTGGTACAAGATTATTAAGAGCTCCAATGGATCGCACAGTTACTGAGTTCAGCAGCATATCACTGTATTGTACTGTGTCTGGTTATGAAAGACCTACCATTAGCTGGACCTTCTCTAACACTCTTCTCTCTAATGGATCTAATGGTGTCATTATACAGGAGATGACTAATGGCAGTTATGAACTGACTAGTGTTATAACATTGACTAATGCCAATAGATTAGATGCTGGTACTTATCAATGTACTGGTAGCAATCCATTGAATAATGTCACTGCAGAAGCATTATTAACTGTTAACTGTAAGTTAAAGTATTGTTAATGATTTTTATAATAACATTCGATCCCTTGCAGTTATTTCTGATATTACTCAGATCCCTACTGATATTACAGTAATTCAACCATTACAAGCTCAATTTAACTGTTCAGCTAATGCAATACCTCAACCAACAATACAATGGATAAGAAATGGAACTATTCTATCATCAAATGCTAAATACACTATTACAACAACTAACAGTACTTCTACTGATAGATCTAGTACACTAACGATATTTGATTCTACTCCAGTAGATGCTGGTGATTATTATTGCTTTGTTAATAACAATGTAAAGACTGTCAATGTTTCAGCTACTCTAACTGTTCATGTTGTGCCTACTATAGCATTGCAAATGACCACCTACACAGTCAACGAGAATTCTACAGTTACATTCCAGTGTACTGGTACTGGTGTTCCAGAACCAGGCATTACCTGGTATAGGAATGGAAATGAGCTATCAACCAGCAGTAGGATCACGATCAATAGTGGATCACCAATTCAAGATGGTTCGACACTGATATATCAAGTTAGCGGTAGCCTTGAGATCTCACCAGTAGCTGATAATGACAGTGATACTACTTATAATTGTACTGCTAGCAATACTGCTGGAAGAGCTACAGATCAATTTGCATTAGATGTATTGGGTAAGTTACTAGTAAAAAAACAACTTTACATTTCTCTCCCTCTCTCTCTCTTTTCACAGTTGCTCCTGTCATTATAAGTCCGCCATCAGACACCACTGTCACCCATCCTGACCCATTCTCGTTCACCTGCGTAACCACCGGTCACCCACGTCCCAACATAACATGGTACAAGGTGACTGAAGGTACTAATGGTGCCACAGAGAGTGTAATGGCTGATGATCGTACTAGTATCACTAACACTCAAAGTGGTGATAGAGAATTGACTAGTAGTATCCGTGTTACTGGAGCTATACCGTTTGATGCTGGTGTATATACCTGTGAAGCTACTAACGTTGTTATTGCTTATAATAATAGTGCTACTGCAGTCATTAACGGTGAGATTTAGCAGTGTATATACATGTTAAATATATGCTTTTTTTCTCATAATATCCTCCATTTATAATTTTATTTTTTATGTAGTGCGACCAAATATTCTCTACCCATCATCTAATGCAGTATTTTATGTGAATGAGTCAAGCTCAATATCTATCCTTTGTTCTGCAACTGGTCTTCCATCTCCATCCATTACATGGTATAGGAACACAGTTCAACTCACTGGTGTATCAGATGGACAGTTTAATAATATCAATGGTCGAATCAGTATCAGCGAATCACTGATTCAAGAGTTTGTTACAGCTGATGGTGTTATTAATCAGACGAATCAGACTTTGACTCTTATGGCTAACAGAAGTGATACTAATGATAATTATACTTGCAGAGCTGATAATGTTGGACAGGACCTTGTGACGTTTGAAATTTTTGTACAAGGTAAAGGAAAAGATTTGCGTACAGAATTTGAGCTACTTTTTATTTTAAGTTGCTCAAAAATTGGGTCAAAGTTCCTGTACTATGGTGCAGGGTCTCGGGCCAAATTTTGCCAAAAATTAAAAGCAGAGAATTCTCAATTTTTATAATGTTTCCTGATATGTATAAACATTTTTATGTTGTGTAGCAAGTCTGAGCTTATTCTGATCAAATTTGAATTTTTTATGAATTTTTAAAGTTGCTCTAAAATTGGGTCAAAGTCCGTTTACTGTATACAGTGCAGAGTATTTTTCAAAAATTGCTAAGAGAGAATTCTCTAATTTTATAATATTTTCTGTGATATATACATATATCATTGTACATGTATTTTATATTTAAACCTCTTCTTTTTTCCTCTTTCTTTCTTTCTCTCTCCCTCTCTCTTCAGTTCCTCCTGTTGTTGTACCACTGGATGGTGACAGTCACAGAGTTGCAATAGAAGATAGAACAACACTACTATCATTTAGAATAGACGACGCTGCTCCACCTGTTTCACCTTCAAATACTTACTGGAGGTTCTCCCCGTTATTTTCAAACGATCCTTATGCAAGTGATACTGAAGATATCACTGGATTAAGTACCAGGAGAGGAGATTCAGCGTATTCCTATAGCAATGGCAGACTGAATCTTACTATATCAGGATTGAATCAAACTGATGAGGGACGATACTTTTTGATTGCTATCAATCCTGCAGGAGAACATTATGGCCATATTGATATCATTATACATGGTAAGGGAAAAAGAGAGAGAGAAGACAGAAGGAGAGAAATGGGAAAGAGGAATGAGAACAAAAGGAGGGAGAAAATGTAGGACCTTAAATGACATCATACTAATTATTATACATTTTTATTATTGAGTAATCCACTTTTAGGTCCACCATACATCATCCAAAGGCCCTCAAATGCTACAGTGCTGAATGGGGGAACTGCTACATTCATTTGCTATGCTGTAGCTGATCCAAATCATGAGATCTATTGGATGTACAACTCAACAATCATTGCCAACACAACAAGCAATGGCTATAGCTCCAATCCCAGCAAATACAGTATTGTCTCTAGTAGAACAAATCTTCAGAGCTTTGGAAGTTTATCTGTTCAAGATTTAGTTTTTGATGATCGTGGAGACTATCAATGTATTGTTTATAATAATATCAGTAGCTTGAGTTTCACTGCAAGCCTAACTGTACATGGTAAGGGGGAAAAAAGCAAAAAAGAACATTAAATATTTAAATTTTTTTTTCTTTTTTAGTTCGACCAATAGTCTACACAATCTCAAACTCATTGTCGCTCCTCATAGAGAATTCCACTAGCTTGCATTGTGTTGCTACGGGTTACCCTTTTGTCTCTATCACCTGGAAGAAAAACGGTCAAAATATATCGGAGACCACACCCAATATCACCATGACAACCACGCCTGTATCATTGTCAAACTATCCCGTGAATATGTCGATACTTGATGTTGCTAGGTTAGGGTCCGTGGGAGAGTTAGCTTTTGTTAGTGTGACGAGAAATGATACTGCTAACTATACCTGTGTAGCTAGTAATTATTTACCTGATACCAACTTGAGATCTTATGAATCGGAATCAACCAGTATCACAGTGCTAGGTTAGTTGAAAGAATGTCATTGATTGTTTTATGTTTTATTTTTATTTATTTATTTATTTACTTCTATTTTTAGAACGACCCGATCCTCCTACTGATGTCATAGTTACCTCATACACATCAAGAACTATTGACGTCTCTTGGTCTCCTGGTTTTGACGGTAACAACCCGATTAAAGGATACTTTCTATATCAAAAGGATCTTGATAGAGACGGAGATTTTATACTAGCACTTCCCTCAACTACTCATTCCTATACCACAGAATCTGGTACCAATTTCAGAATAAGTGATGGCATAATCCCATATACTAAATACACTTTCACTGTTGTTGCATGTAATGGAGTGGATGGTACCAACTGCAGTGCTGTTGATAGAGGAACACCCTCAAATCCTGTGAGAATTGAACCCGATGGTAAGCATATGCTAAAATTAATATATTTTACATGTGAAAAAGGCGATTTATGATTATTTACTATTTTTCTCATTTATTTGTGATTTAATCTTTATTTTTAAATCTATTTTTACTATTTTCATTTATTTTTCTCAGCTCCTGATTCTCCACCATTCAACTGCACTGCTTTGCCTACAAACTCCTCCACCTCAATCTCCCTTGCCTGGTCAGTACCACTCCAACCAAATGGTCTCATTACAAGCTACAGCATCACATACCTACCTCTATCATCAACTTCTGAGAGGGAATATGGTGCAGAGTCTAATTCCACCATTAGCACTCCTACTAATGGCACTAGTTTTATTGTTGATAATCTTTATAAAGCTTCTTTGTACTCATTTTCATTGCAAGCCTTCACTGTCATTGGAGGCAGCCCAATAGCAACTGATATATGTACTACATCAACCATTGAAGACAGTAAGAGAATGAACAATAGCTTGTATGTATATTTACATTACAATTTTTTCCTAATAGTTCCTGAAGGTGCACCACTTAATGTTGGAATTGTCACTGATTCTTCAACATCAGTTCAACTCTCTTGGAATGCTCCTGACAGTCTCGTTCAAAATGGCCGTATCACGAGCTATCGTATAAGATACTCTATACCATTCCAAACTCCATTCAACCCTGTAATAGTATCTGCTCCTTCTACAACAGCTAGGATAGAAAACCTTGAGAAATATACCATTTATAATTTTAGTGTTGCTGCAGGGACAGCTAGAGGATATGGACCGTACAGTGATTGGATCAATATTCGCACTTTGAATGACAGTAAGTGGACAATGGTTACTGGTTACTGGTTTATGAATATTTCCTAATAGCGTCCAGTGTACCACTGAATCTACAAGTGGTAGGCGAACCAGGAAGGACCAATATAACTATACAATGGATGATACCTGCATTCCCTAATGGAATAATCACTAGCTATAATGTAAGATATGATACTGATATGACATTGATTCTGATACTGATACATTGATATTGATACTGATATTAATATTGATAATTGACATTGATATAGATACTGATATTGATATTGATACTGATATCTAGGTCTATTATCAGCCATTTAAAGCTAATTCCGGTGGAGAGGATCCTTCTTTTAACTCTTCAGAGAGATCTGTTACTGTTCAAGCAATTTCCTTGAGTACAACACTACTTGATCTCTATCCTAACAGCACATACACTATCAGTGTCACAGCTATCAATGGAGCTGGCGAGAGTCAAAGAAGCACTCCAATATCAGTCAACACACCTTCAAGCCGTAAGTATACAATTCTTCATAAACTACAATTATTATTATTTTGTTCTTTTAGCTCCTCCTCCTCCAAGTACCCCTACTATACCGAGTGATGCAGTCGATGGTCGTAAGGTTAGGATACAACTGGTAAGACCGTCAACTATCAATGGACCGATAAGGTAATATACTGGTTGAATGGTTTAGCATTTTAAAAGCACTCTATGTAGACTGTGATAGCCTCTTTTATCCTTTATCTATATAATTTTTTATTTTTCATTCTTTTTTTTCTCTCTTTCCTCTAGTCATTATCACGTAGTGGCTGTCATTCTAAGATCTGATGCAGTTTCTGCTCCATCATCTCCTCCTGATATCCAGTTCCCATCACTGGCCAGCCTTTCAACATACTCCACTGCTCAAGATGATTATGATGGCTCCAGAGAGATTGGCTATGTTGCTGCTGAATTTGCTGATGCTCTATTTCCTTCTGATGGATACTACATAATAGGAGAAGAGACTCAGCCTAATGACAGAAGTGGTAGCTATACTAATGGAGAGCTCAGATATGGGACACCCTATACTTTCTTTTTAAGAGCATATCCATTCTTGGTAAGGAGTATAATAACTTGTGGGAGGTTATGGTAGATGATAATTTTAGCATGTTTTTTCTCTCTTTGTTTGCATTCATCTTTTATTATTCTATTTCTTCTAGTCTGATGTATCTTCTGCTGGTAACAACAAGAAGCAGAGCACAAGTGCAGAGAGACAGTATACTGAATTCACTTCCAGCAACTACACTGCTGTAGTCACTACCGGTAAAAAAGAGATCAATAAATTGTATTTTTATAGTTTTTCTTATTTATTTATTTAGCTACAAACCCTGGACCTGCAATAGCAGGCTCTGTAGTGACAGTCCTACTGGTCATCATTATAATAGTGGTTGTGGTGATAGTTGTATTATTCTTAGTTTACAGGTACATATATATGCACACACATTTGCATCTATAGTACTATAGTACTCAATGTTATATAGTAGCACTCCATGCTAAAACTTGAGCTTAATATTTTTACTCATTGTAGGAAGAGAACTGGAATATTGACATTTGGAAATAAAGTAAGATATTTAGTTTAAAAAAATTATATATATTGCATTTTGTCCTCTCTATAGGAACCAACACAAGAAATGAAAAGGATAACCTCAGACACATCCATTCCTTCCATGCCTCACATGGAGTCAAATGATACGACATTAAGTAGAACCTCTTTAGCATTGTCTGAGCACTATGAGGGACACCCTCCAATCAGTGTGGCCGAATTTGGAAAGATTGTTGATCGACTTCACGCAAACGATAATTACATGTTTAGCCAGGAATATGAGGCAAGAGAAATGAATGAAGAACATTTTTAATTTTTTCTTTAATTTTAGGATATTAATCGATCTTCTCCTAACCCATCTGTTGATGTGTGTCTAAACCCAATGAATAAGCTAAGGAACAGATATGCTAATATCCAGTGCTGTAAGTATAGTATCATTGTCATTATTTTTATTATTATTACTTTAATTTCAGATGATCACTCAAGAGTGAAGCTAACTCCAGTGGAAGATTCTCCCCATGATTACATCAACGCCAATTTCATACATGTAAGAACATATTATATCATTATTTTATTATTCTTTCATTTAATCATTTATTTATTCATTTGTTTGTTTGTTTGTTTGTTTGCTTGTTTATTTATTTATTTGTTTATTAATTTATTTATTTACAGGGTTACAATAGAGACAATGAGTTTATAGCTACACAAGGTCCTCTTCCTGACACAATTGGTGACTTCTGGCGAATGGTCTGGGACTATGAGTCACCTACAGTAGTAATGCTCACCAACCTGCAAGAGAAAATGAGGGTAAGAAACTATAGTGTCACATGAGTATCACATGATCATCACATGTCATTATCCTGCAGGTCAAGTGCACCCAGTACTGGCCTGATACTGTAGGGAGGAGTGAGCGTTTTGGTCCAATCAGTGTGACATTTATAAAATCAACTTCACATGCTGACTACTGCATTAGAGAATTTGAGATACAAACAGTAAGCCAACAGAATATCAATTCTATAGAGTACAAATTTTGCGAAAATTAAAAAAGACAAAATTCTCTTTATTTGGTCAAACCTGTTCTTTTCTCTCTTATAGCAGGATGAGAAAACCACTAGGAGCATCAAGCAGTTCCATTATACTTCATGGCCTGATTTCGGAGTACCTCGCCACCCAACTCCACTGATACAGTTTATACATACTGTAAGAAGGCACCACAAATATACAGACAAAAGACCAATGATAATACACTGCAGGTAAGCAAAATGAAATATTTATTTATTCATTTAAAAGTGCATGGAAGTAAAATGAAGTTTTGTGTCCATAATTATTACCAAGTATTTTTTTCTTTCAGTGCTGGTGTGGGTCGTACTGGTACATTCATTACCATTGATTCTGAAATGCAGAGAGCAGATCAAGAGAGAGAACTCAATCCTTACCAGTTTGTAAGACAGATGAGAGAAAACAGGAACCACATGGTCCAAACTGAGGTACATGCAATGTTGCTGCAACATACCGTATAGCGGGTTTTTTTCGAGGATATTAAATTTCGCAAATGACCCATATCCGGAAGTTTGCGGAATTAATTTTCGCGAATTTCCACTAATCTGCCATCTTGTACCATATTAAATTGATTTTCAAGGAATTTAATTTCGCGAATCATGAAAAAATCCGCAAAATTCGCGAAATTTGTTATCCTTGAAAGTTTCCCGCTATACGGTAATGCACATATACATGCAGTAACTCTCTTCTCCTTCAATCTCTCTTTTTCTCTATTAGGCTCAGTTTGTGTTCATTCATGATGCACTAGTTGAGATTCTCAATACTGGTAAGACTGATATTGGCATTGAGCAGTTGGAGGCTAGAATGGCTGAGCTCGAGATAGAAGATGATGAAGGAGAGACAGGATACAGTCACGAGTTTTCTGTAAGGAAAACTATCTCTTCTCTTCTATCATTTTAAATTTTCATTCCTTGTCTTTTAATTTGCTTCTTCCCTTGGTTTATTTTTTATTATTTTTTTGCAGCGTCTGCAAAGCGAGAGAGCTCATTTTGATGATTTTTATAGTGCAAGGAATGATGCCAACAAAGACAAGAACAGACTGCACAATGCACTACCTTGTAAGGAAGAGAAAGAGTGCCCTTTTATCAATATGCATGATTGCATAAGTTAAAAATGCAAATTAACATCTTAAATTTGTAGATGATCACAATCGCGTCAAATTAACAAAGATCCCAGGAGAGATTGGTTCTGATTACATCAATGCTAGTTTCATTGATGTAAGTGATAATAATCATTCTAACTCACTAATTATAATTCACACTCCCTTTAACTTGCAGGGCTATAAAGCTAAGAACTGCTACATAGCTGCTCAGGCTCCTAAGGACAATACACTTAATGATTTTTGGAAGATGATATGTGAGCAGCAAGTATCAGTGATTGTCATGCTCGCCAACACTGAAGAAAAAGAACAAGTAAAGAATAATAAAACCAATTAATAGTAAGTATTCTTCCTCTCTCTCTCTCTTTGTCTCTGCAGTTTGTAATGAGTGCTCAGTACTGGCCCTACAAAAGAGGAGAAGAGTTAGCCTTTGGCTCAGCAAGTGTGACACTACAGCTAACAAATCATCAAGAGGATTATATACACAGACAACTAAGAGTCACCTACACTCCTGTTAGTATATAACATACTCTCAGTTCATTTCTATGCTTTGATTGTTTTAATTTCCATTTTAAAAACTTTTGAATTTTACATTTACCTTGTACTCCTCAATTTTTTTCATTCTCATGATTCCATTCTCATTTATAGAGAGACACACCGCCAGAAACTAGAGTTGTCCATCACTTTAGTTTCACTAGCTGGCCGAGGAGTGGTGCACCTTCAAATGGATCAGGCATGATTGATCTCATTGATCAAGTGCAAAAGAGGCAACAGCAAACTGGGAACAAGCCAATACTAGTACACTGCAGGTTAGTAATGTCAAATATAGTTTATCTTACATGTAAAGTTTAGTGTGTCTGTATAAGTAATGTAATACCTGAGGACTGAGATATCTGCTTGAGGTGAAGCTGAGGGCAGATGTCAAGGGACTCAGGTATTACATCACTGATACTCACCTCCAGACACACTGGTGTAAAACTTTAAATTATAGTATTATGCATTACATCAAGAGTAGATAATTAGTTAGAGCTACTCTTGATTACATTGATTTAGCACAACTACAGTGTGCAATAACTGCAATTCAATGAAGTTTAATTTGCAAAATTTAAACATGTGTCTTAACTCTCCTTCTCTCATTCCTTTAGTGCTGGTATTGGAAGGACAGGTGCTTTCTGTGCATTGAGTATAGCCATTGAGAGAGTGAAAGTTGAACACATTGTGAACATTTACAACATTGTCAAACACTTGAGGACACAAAGGGCCCATATGGTCCAAAATCTAGTAAGTACAGCAGTGCATCACATGATCATGATATTATTATTTTTACACAATTTTTTTATTTTAAAATTATTATTAATCTTTTTAGGATCAGTATGTCTTTATTTATCGTGCTATACTGGATTACGCAGAATCACTTAATAGCTATGCTAATTTTAATAGTCAGGCAACAACTCTAACGGTTATATAACTATTAATTTATTAACTGTAATTTCAATAATAATTAATATAACACATACAAACACAGCGCTACTACATAATTTTTGTATATATAAATAGAATTTTAATAGCTAATTATGATTGTGTCACACCACGTTACTATTTTTAGCACCTTAGTTTTTGTTAACAACTATGATTTTTATTAATAATAATAATAATCAATGAAAAAATGGCAAATAATAATAATAATAAATTAATAATAATAATAATAATGAAACAATCATCTAGTTCTTTTTTACACCATGTGAGCCAACAGGCTCGTTGGGTTTTCAAGATATTTCCGCCACAAATTTGAAAAATTCGCCACCTCCGCCCCCTCAATGACCCTGTGGTCGGCCGACCAGCTAACATACATCACGTGACTTTTAACAACGTCTCCTTTATCGTTAAATTTAGGAACTGCCTAAGAACAGCGCAGTAAGTCATGTGAGAGTCACATGAGACTATCACTTACTTGTATTTTACCAAAAGCTCCTATGCAAACTTCAGGCGGTAGGATGAGTGGGCGGGCATAAGTACCGCCCACCTAATTAACGAGATTATTATTATATTAAATTATTGGAAGCGAGTGCTTGGTTCTTACAGCTCCGATGTTTGAGACGGAGAAGGTTCCTCCCATGATGTCTGCAGGTGCTAGAGAACCTTTGATACTCAGTTCTTGGAGCCGATGTAACTCAACGGCAATATCAATGAGGGATCGGTTCTACAGTAATTTAAAATTAAAATTTAATTAATTAAATTTGCTCAAATTTCAACATAGGCACATGTACATGTATATGTGAACGTACAGTATCAGAAAATATTATAAAAATGGTGAATTCTCTACTTTTCAATTTTTGCAAAATTTGGCCCGACACCCTGTACTATAGTACAGGGACTTTGGCCCAATTTCGGAGTGACTTTAAACATTTGTAAAAAGTCTAATTTTGATCGGAATCAGATCAAACTTTCTACACAACATAAGAACATGTATAGGTATTTGAAAATGTAATAAAAATCAAGAATTCTCTACTTTTCATTTTTGGCAAAATTTGGCCCGACACCCTGTACTATAGTACAGGGACTTTGGCCCAATTTTGGAGCAACTTAAAAAAAATTCAAAAAAAATCCAACTTCGATCAGAATGAGCTCAAACTTACTACGCAACATGCATATAATATAATATTAATATAATACACATGACATGGAGAGCTATGAGTTATATAAGTTATATACCTGTACACACTTTACATTTGGTACCACTAGTCCTTGGGGTGTGTCTACAGCCATACCAATATTATGATCAGCTCTATATGTGATGCTACGACACTCTGGATCAACATGAGCATTTAATATTGGATAATCCTTCAGCGCCATCGACAAGGCTTTAATCAGAAACGGCATAAACGTAATCTTGATATCTTTATCCTTGACAAGATCTTTGATTTCATTTCTGAGTTGCATCACTTCGTCCATTAGCACTTCATCGCAATAACCAAATTGAGGTATCTACAAATTATATATTTTAGAATATTTATAATTTAAAGTGGCAGCTGCTACCTGTCCGGATGCTGTCATTGTTTGTACCATTATCATTTTAAATCCTTTAATTGGCTCTACCCTATCAAGGGGCATGGCTGGGGGAGGGGCTGGAAGACTAACAGAACTCTTGACAGCAGGGGCAGCTAAAATTTGTAAAAATAATTATCGATTTGGTCAAAATTATTTTTCACCTGTTTTTGAATCGATATATTTCAAAATATCTTCCTTTAAGATGCGGCCACCGTCTCCCGTCCCTTTAATTAGAAAAAGGTCAATGTTATTCTCAGCCGCTATCCTCCTCACAGTGGGTGTGGCTAATACTTTGCCACTCCCACTTTTAGCCGGAGGCGATGACAATGATTCTACCTCCTTCTTTGACGTGGGAACTGCTGATTCTAAACAAAAGAAAAGGTGCCCCAATAAATTATTATTATTATTATTATTATTATTATTACTATTATTATTATTATTATTATTATTATTATTATTATTATTATTATTATTATTATTATTATTATTATTATTATTATTGTTATTATTATTTGCATACCTTGAATGCTACTGCTGCTACTTTGCTCTTCTTCTTCTCCTGATATTTCAATGGTGACTAATGGCTCATCTTTCTTAGCAATGTCATCAACTTCATACATTAGTTCCTTAATGACACCATCATGAGGACAATAAATAGTAGCAGCTGACTAAAAGAGGGGGAGAGAGAGAGAGAGGCAAAGAAGAAGTTGCACTTTTTGTTCATTCATTATTGTGTATACTTTGTCACTTTGAACTTCACAAATCGGATCACCCATCGCAACAGTGTCGTTCGGTTTAACTAACCTATAAGGATAACGCATTGACAGTTATTATAAAAGCTGTAATATTTTGAGCTTGTGCAAACTGGCCGGATTTATATCAGCTGTAATATTACGATAAGTAGTAGATTATAACGTAAATCAAAGGGTAACTGTGTAATCTGGAGAGTAATGTACATACATGTACATACCATTCCTTTACTACAACAGTCATTATTGCCTCTCCTACGTCAGGTAGATTAAAAGTCACAATCTTCCCATTATCTGATATAAAACAAGAATTAATTTCAATATTTTTTTGGATTTTTTTCTTACAATTTCTTGATGAATGAATTCTCCTTTTCTGCCATATATCACCTACAGAGGAGATTGATCTAGAGCTGAAGATCAAAGACCTCTGTATTGCATGATCCCCTGCAACAGAAACCCGTCTGACCAGTTTGACAGCTCCTCTGGTTCTCAATAAAGCACGAAGCATTGTTGCTTCTATAAAGCCCTGCCCATTAATTTGAGAAAATGGCGTTTCTTGGCGGAAAAACCGATGTTAAAGGTACTGCAAATACTTGGAAATGACATCTTTATTATTGCTTGTGCAGGTCTTCTTAACAGACTGACTAACAAGAAGGAGCAGTCACGTGGAGCCTGTTCTAAATGTGGCTATTGTAAGCATTTAAAATTACTATTAAATATGACATTTTAATCATTTTTATGATACTATACTTATTGTAATAATTATGTGTACTTTTTGCATCTATAATATACTACTAGTCAGCTGACTAGTAGTAGCGTAGTAGCGTAGCTCAATAAATTAGAGAAAATTTTAACTTCCTGTTATTGTTAACACCAGCACAATGTGTAAACAAGCAACTTGTAATTAACTTGTAATTTTGACAAGACATTGTTAAAATTGCGTTGGAATGTTGTGGAAATAAAGCTGTAAATTCCACATGAATTAGCTTAAATACAAGCTTAAACATATTCTTTTATATTCCATTATTGTTGCTCTTCCTAATTAACTCTTTCTCTCGTTCTTCCTTGCAGCTGGTCATTTGACTTTTGAGTGCCGAAACTTCCAAAGGGTAGACCCCAACAAGGAACTCCTTCTGGACGTGAGTAGTACCTCAAGCGAGGAGGAGGAGGAGAAAGAAGTAGTGAGTGTTTCGTCAACTTCTTCCATTGATAGCAGCGAAGAAGAGAGAAAGAGACAGAAGAAGAGGAGGAGGGAGAGGAGAGAGAAGGAGTTGAGGCGATACAGTGACAGCAGTGATGAGGAGGAGACGAGGGAGAGAAGGAAAAGAAAGGACCGTGGCAGAGGAGCAGAAGATGACAGTAATAATTAATTATACTTATAATAATAATAATAATAATAATAATAATAATAATAATAATCATATTGTATTGCTGGAAACTTTTGAAGGGCCTAAATTTTTGCTGTTGTAAATGTCTAATTCAGTTGTATGAATTTTGTAGAAGATAAATCCGCAACAAAGTTTTGCTACATTTGCACAAGTTTAGTCAATAGCTGCATAAACTGTGTGATGCTTTGGGAAGAGGTATAGCAGAAACCAAAAAGCATTTAATGTTATTATTACCATGCAACTGTACCTCAACAGTACACAATGTATTGTTATTATTTATTTGGTACTGTTTTTGTTTTAGAAGAGAGAGGAAAACGTGATGACAGAAGGAGAAGAAGAGAATCTTATTCATCAAGTGAAGAAGATGAAGGGAGAAGACACAAGTCAAGATCGCCATTACACAAACGAGAAGCTGCAAAGAATAAAAAGCATAAGAGGTATTGAAAAAAATTGTATGGATGAATGACTGTATTTATGATAATCTTCAGGGAGAAAGAGAAATCCAAATCTTCTCACAAACACAAGAAAAGAAAGCATAGACATTGACTTGTTGCATAAACATTTTTAATAAACTTATTGAATGCTGTGCATGCAATAGATAATAAAATAAGACACGTTATTAGACTGTACTTTGCCTTAATGATGATCTAATTTTTATTAATTTTGATTATTACTAAACTTGACTTCTAATTGGTGATATGTACAGATAATATGATACATTGATTGCACCTACGTCCTCATTATATATTGACTGAATGAAGAATAATTAGTTGTCAGTTGCAATAAACAAGAGCATAATATAGTACTGTCACATTCACTTATATTTTCATTGTTATCTTTTAATAAAACAAGAATTTAAAATCAACAATGATGTTTTGAATGCAAAACTGTTGTTAGTAGGATACTGCATGTACTTGATGCATAAAATCAACAGCAAAACAGAAGTTTAGTTTTATATAAAATATTTAAAATAAAAATAGGACAATACATGATGCCTATAATGACTGATACACACTTCTCTATATATACAGTGCATATGTATTTTCACACACTATAATGAACAATTCTTATTTACCGTAGTAATAATACTGATAATATGAAGGAGTTGAATAACGATAATAGTTGTAGCTGTAATAGGAGGAGGATGAACTTGAAGCAGCAATCGAAGCCGGAAAAATGATGATCCAGAGAAAAAAGAACACGATGGCTGAAATTATTGCAACAATGTTTAAAGCAAGTGATATTCTACCAAATGCTTTAGCTTTTTTAAGACTCCCACTATCATCCATTTTCTTAGCCTATTGCAAAATTTTACATCATAAATATAATGGGAATTACTGTAGTCGATGCATACCATTATAGAGAAAATCATTGCAAGGATTGTGCAAGGTAGTATGAACATTCCACAGCAGCAAAAGCAAAAGCAGCAAAAAGTATTCAGCACAGATGACAATCCAAAATAGTGGTCCTGGTTCTTATTCATCACTTTGACCAATGGTTGTGTAAAGATTACTGCTTTCTCCTAAAACAAAATTAAAGTATCACAGCAAAATTCACTTACTTGAGTTAATGAAAATAGAGGTCCCTTTTGTATTGGTGGTGGCTCTTGGATTTTTTCATCTGATTCTAGGTCCTCCTCCTTTTGCATATCATCATGGTCAGAAGCTCCCTCGGTGGAAGGTACTTCTTTGGTTGCTTCAAATTGTTTGTCAAAGCCAGGTTGATCATAAGGAGGCTCTGCAGTTGCATAAGCATACATGGAATTGACAGGTATACCAGTATCCATATTAGGCAATTATGACTACTGTTCTGCTTTATTCAATTGACTTATTGCACTTACTGCATGCAGCTAAGCTTATATACTAGCAGGAAGGCGTGTATGTGATTCAACACGTTATTGCCAATTTGTATAGTAGTGTATAGAATAGTAGTAACAGTTTTCATAACTGTATAGCAATATCTAATATAGAGATTTCTAGCTGTAGACAAATTAATTAAAAAAGAAACAAAGAGAGCATAACTAAAACAAACAAAAGGGAAGATAATAACTAGTATTTATAATAATTATTATTTTGTTTATAACCGTCGTTTATTACTGCCATAATAGTATGATGATAATTATTATAGTACAAAAAAAAGGCAAATAAAACAGCTATAATTGCCGCTATAAAAATGCCTACAATGAGTTTGAATGAATCATAATCATCCACCAATTTGCTATACCAACGTAGTAGGTCATCATGATCCTTACTCAAAACTTTGAGGTCACGTTCCAAATCCCTGCACCTCCTATTTATACGTTCTTCCATCTCATCTTTCAACTTAGCATTTTCCACCTTCAAATTATAAATTTTTTCATTCAAGCTATCATAAAGAGCACTAATATCTATCTTACGTATATTCATATCAAACTTCAACTGGTTTACATCACGAAAAAGCTCATTTGTATCAAAGCGAAGATCATTTGTATCAAGGCGAAGCTTATTTGTATGAAGGTGAAGCTCATCTGTATCATCCCTCAGCTTTCGGTATGCCTGAGACAGAGCTTCGTGATGAGAATCAGAGTAATGCTCCTTTGCATCTTTTCTTAAAGGCCATTCCTTACAACCTAACCAGCTAAACGCACATTCAACCCTTTGCATCGGACACTCATCTTTTACATGCTGGTTGAGTTCGGAGCGCCTCACATTTTCATCAGAGCAATGAGAACAACCGACTGGATAATTCTTGCAAACTCGATAATGAGACTTTGTTATGGCTTTATATGCATCCTTTGCTCCACAGTGCTGGCATGAATAAGGCCTAAGCATGCAACGATTTTCTAAGTGGTCAGTCAGGTCGACACGTAAAATATCCTTTTGACTACATTTATACTTGCATTCCACTAAATCATAAGGACACGTTGTAGATAAATGATCTCTAAAATCCCTTAATTTTCCACTCCAGTCACATTGAGCCTCTTGTGTTTGATTCTTTTTCATACAGTACACAGCTTTGGAATAAACTATGCGCTCAAAATTCTTGTCAGGGAAGGTATCGCTGCAGTCTCCCCTACAGATAGGGCAACTACGTACCCTTGTATAACAATCAATTTCGACTCCAGAAATGCATGCTTTACAAAAATGTCGTCCACAGCAAAGGGACTGCAGGGGGTCGTCCATGATGACATGTAGACATATCGGGCATTCAATGTTGAAGTCAGTGATTTCTTTCTCAAACTGGAAATCTTCCCTAGACACTGCTTTACTAGGTCTTGGCCTTTGTAATATACGAATTTGTCTGTTCATTCTATTCATAAAACAACGAGGTGCTTCTTTATGGCGCCATTGCATGTACACCAGCCACACCTTGTAATGGGCGTGGTGTTAATTATGTTGATTAATTCATAGATATTAAAGTATACAACTCTAATATCTATGATTAATTAATCTATGTCTATAGCTGGAAAAGTTTGCGGGAATTATTTTTGCGATTTTGTACCCATTATAGCTAATTTTAATGTTTGTGGAATTTAATTTTGCTGGTGTAGGCGTGTACTGTTGATACACCCATTGCTTATAATGCTTTGCGGAATTAAATTGTGCGTTTTTTTATGATGAACAGCAAACACCAAAATTATATTCCAGCAAATATCTCCAGCTATACGGTATTACACATCTATGTATTTTTGTGCATTTATAGTTCTTTCAGTAATAAAGCAGCTCCTCCAGTGTTGCTAGTTCTTATTTGATCAATAACTGATGATCGAAGCAACTCCTTTAACTTCTCCTGACTCAGTCCCTTTGCTAGCTTGAGAATGAGACAACAAATCTATGTACATATACATTGATAATAGTACATAATGATACCTTGATAATACAAAGCAACCTCTGTTAATGTTGGTCCAAGTATTTATAAACTCTGTTGGTATTAATTGTATTATCAAGTCACTGAACATAATATGAAAAACGTAGTTCATTTCATACTATTGTAACAAAAACTATAATCATTAATAATATACTAAACTTAATACATGATGCATGTGACATAAATTCTACAGTCTCTACTCATAAAGTAGATTCATAAATAATTTGTTAAAGCGAAGATTGGTATCATAAATAAGAAGCAACAAATAAATAATTTAAAAACAACAATGATGTTTTGAATGCAGAACTGTTGTTAGAAGTTTAGTTTTATATAATTATTTAAAATAAAAATAGGACAATGCATGATGCCTATAATGACTGATACACACTTCTCTATACAGTGCATATGTATCTTCACACACTATGATGAACAATTCTTATTTACCGTAGTAATAATACCGATAATATGAAGGAGTTGAAGTAGTGCTTAAATAACGATAATAGTTGTAGCTGTAATAGGAGGAGGATGAACTTGAAGCAGCAATCGAAGCCGGAAAAATGATGATCCAGAGAAAAAAGAACACAATGGCTGAAATTATTGCAACAATGTTTAAAGCAAGTGATATTCTACCAAATGCTTTAGCTTTTTTAAGACTCCCACTATCATCCATTTTCTTAGCCTATTGTATAGATTTTGATGATAAATATAATGAAAAGTACTGTAGTTGATGCATACCATTATGGAGAAAACCATTGCAAGGATTGTACAAGGTAGTATGAACATTCCACAGCAGCAAAAGCAAAAGCAGCAAAAAGTATTCAGCACAGATGACAATCCAAAATAGTGGTCCTGGTTCTTATTCATCACTTTGACCAATGGTTGTGTAAAGATTACTGCTTTCTCCTAAAACAAAATTAAAGTATCGCAGCAAAATTCACTTACTTGAGTTAATGAAAATAGAGGTCCCTTTTGTATTGGTGGTGGCTCTTGGATTTTTTCATCTGATTCTAGGTCCTCCTCCTTTTGCATATCATCATGGTCAGAAGCTCCCTCGGTGGAAGGTACTTCTTTGGTTGCTTCAAATTGTTTGTCAAAGCCAGGTTGATCATAAGGAGGCTCTGCAGTTGCATAAGCATACATGGAATTGACAGGTATACCAGTATCCATATTAGTCAATGAATACTGTTTCAGTTGTTTTTTATTCAACTAGAGCTAGATAGTGCAGATTGACTTATATACTTAGACTAGTAGGTGTGTCATGCAAAAATGCATCATAGGCGGAATAATTATGGTGAGAGAAAAAACAAGGAGAGAGAAAAAGGAGATGTGTGTCTATACAAACTAAACTAGACAGTAATTACATACATAATACTAGCAATAAAAAGTCCAACTATAATAATAATAAAATTTAATGATAATAATTCGTAATGCATATAGCCACAGCAAGTACAGCTACAATAACTACTATGATAATTATCTTTAAGTTGTCATGTCTATTCTTCAACTCTTCATGTTCCCATTTTAAAGTTTGAAGTTCATTTTCCAAATAGTTAAACCTCATATCGGCAGCAAGTCTACTTTCATGTGACCTGTGCCTATTCAAGCATGAAGTCAAGTGATTATTAGCCATACGCAAATTAGTTGCATCAGAACAAAGCTTTTGATATGCTGCCTCAAAAAGTGTAGCATGTTTGGTATCAGAGTAATGCTTCTCTACGTCTTTCCTTAAGGGTCTTTCTTCACAACCTAACCAACTGAAAGGACACTTAACTGGATGCATTGGACAATGGTTCTCTAGATGGTCCTTCAGGTCAATGCGTAAAAGAGTATCCTTTAGATCACAATGGGAGCATTGCACTATAACATAATCACACGATTTTAAATGATGTGTTAAAGATCCTAATTCTCCTTTCCAGCCACATTCAGCCCCTTGAGGCTTCTTTTTCATGCACTGCATCTTTTGAGAATAAACTATACGTCTGAACCTTCTGTCTGCTGTATAGTTCATGTATTTTTTCCTACACATAGGGCAGTCTCCTGTGATTCTAGAAATGCAGGCTCTACAGAAATTCTTTTTACAGCAGCTTGTCTTACATGGCTTATCCATAATAACCATCAGACATATTGGACATTCAATATTGAAGGCACTGATATTTTTTTCAGACCCTATGAACTTGAAATCATCTTTGGATACCTCTATTTTCTCAGGGGACGCTGTTGCTGTGCTCATAGTGATCTTGTATCTACCAGCGAGCCACACCTTGTATTAGGCGTGGCATCATACACTAGATCTATAATGAATAATGTTAATAGTGAGAGTTTACTATATCAATGTGGATGCCATTGAGTGTGTAAATAGCAACTATTTATTAATGTGTCAATTTTGCACTCCCTCTCTTTTTGAAATGTGAGCAGTTTAACAAACAATGCCTTCAAGCAACATAAACAGAAACGTGCTGTTTAGCCAATATTTAGAATAAGAGAAAATAAGTGAATTTTCATGTGGATTTTAACTTGATAAAAATAGTATCTTCTCCTTAGACCAGTAAAACAACAAGTATTAAAATAACTACTATAATACTAATTATCTTGAAGTGTTTCAGTAATTTGTCATGACTATTCTTTAGCTCGTCATGTTTCTTTTTCAACACATCAAGTTCATTTCCCAACCAATAGCACCTCATATTAAAATATGCATTATTCTTCTCCAAATTATCAAGGAAGAAATTGAACTGCTTATTAGCCATAAGAAGCCTTCGATATGCTACCTCAAAATGTTCAGCATGTTTAGTATCAGAATAATGCTTCTCTACATCTTTCCTTAAAGGCCATTCATCACAACCTAACCAACTAAAAGGACACTCAACTGGTTGCATCGGACAATGGTTTTCTAAATGGTCGTCCAGGTCAATGCGTAAAATATCCTTTTGATCACATTCTTGGAGGCATTGGACTATAACGTAAGGACAAGATGTAGAGAAATGGTCTTTTAAAAACCTTAACTCTCCTTTCCAGCCACATCCAGTCACTCCTTTCCTCTTTTTCATGCACTGAACCGTTTTAGAATAAACTATACGTTTGAATTTTTTGTCTGTGTAGGTCTGGCATTCTCCTCTACAAAGAGGGCAACTTCCTGTAACTTTAGAAATGCAGGCTTTGCAGAAATGTCTTCCACAACAACTGGTCTTTCGGGGCTCACTAATAATAATGTTCAGACATATTGGGCAATCAATATTCAAGTGACTGAACTCTTCCTCAAATTTGAAATCATCTCTAGACATTTTTAAAGGAGCTACTATCGGAGCAGGAGCTAATGTTACAAATGTCCTGCCTCTGAGATGGTCTCCATGAGGACATACTAATCTATAATTACTACTCATCATTTATAATAATGAATCTTCCTTTCTTTATCTGAGTATTGCAGTTTAATAGCCACACCTTGCATTGGTTGGGTGTGGAATAACATTGTCATAATTTTGATAGGCTATATCCTATCTTCATAATTTTATATCTATGCTAAGATTATAGTTCTTTCAGTAATACACTAGCTCCTTCAGTATTGCTAGTTCTTAGTTGATCAATAACTGATGATTGAAGCAACTCCTTTAACTTCTCCTGATTCTCTTTGCTAGCTTCAGACAACAAACTACAAAAACAAAATACATACGTCACATACATTAATAATAGTAGTGTAGTATTATGGTCTCATAAATGATAATAAGAATACTTTAATGTTTCTACATGTAGTAGGGGCATATTGAACCCATTCAAAAATTGGATGAGCGCTCTACTCTGTTCTCAGTTCAGATCCACATCACACCCAAGTCTCATTTTATACTCAGTTATTTGTAAAAGGTCTCATGGGTTGGACAAAATGTGGGTAACACTCATGTACTTGTGTAACTGTACTTATACCTTGATAGAACAAAGCAGCCTCTATTAATGGTAGCCCAAGTACTTATATAATCTGAAGGTACTGATTGTATTATCAAGTCACTGAATAATGGAGTAGAGTCTAATGAAGGAGAGAGAGAGAAGGAAGGGGAGAGAGATGTGTAATATATAATAACAAGAGTAGATGATGTTTTGATTATAATAATCAAGTCTTAATTCTTGATTCTACCTTCTCTATTAATAGCAATCAATTTCTTTAACACCCAGTGACCACACGGATCACCAATGAGATGACACTGATTTGAATCAGCCACCAAATCAGTGATCATTTGATCAGAATCATTGATCCCATGATCCGTATCAAGTGGCCGTGTTAATCCCTCGTTGATCAGTGTAGTATATATAGGCGTCACGTCTCCAACAGCTGATCTCACAGTTTCTATTACAAGTGGAGCAAGAGGTTTTTCACACGCCCACTCAACCACATTCTCCGAAATTAATTTAATGAGAGGTGGAGATATAGCAGCTCTTAACTCCGCCCACCTGATGTCTTGTGGCTTCTTACTAAATATAAAATTTTAAAATATAATATTATTCTAAGTTTTAAAATTTCCACCTGTGTTGATTGCTATCGCCAGGTGTCAGTAATTGGAGGAACTGGTGGGAGAAATGTTGGGGGGAGCGAGGGTTGAGGAGATAGAGGAGAACACGACGGCCATGTTTGTCTTGACAGATCTCTTCAAGAGAAGCTATGATCTCCTGAAAAGAAAAGAGAGAGAGAGAGGGGAGAAATCAGAAATGACAGTATTTTTACTCAGTTTTCTTACAGTTAAGATTGTCTTGGATACTAGAACAGTATCATCGACACAGTCAAATATTCCAAGCAAAACAAGATGGCCATGCTCTTCCTGACAAAAAGATAATACTATTAATAATTTCTTTAATCTTACTTTGCAAATCTTAACAATGTAGCTCTTCAATGATTTCACAAAAACTTTCCTGTCCTAAATTTCAAACGACGTAAACAGCTGGAGATATAAATAGTACAGGTACTTTAGCTGTTCCTTTCCAGACACATTGAAGATTGACCTTTGCTCCTTCTCGAGTGTGTAACATCTCTACAGCAACCTCTCTCAGTGACTCCATGATATCCTAAAAGAAAACAGAATATTATGAACATATACTTTATTTCTTACAGCAATGGATGAAGGATCAGCATGTGTTATAAATTCAAGAAATGCCTGATGAATGATATTATGTCTCACCAAACTCCTAAATAAAAAACATTTAATTAAGAAGATCTTTTAGAATTTAAGTGCTTAGATTTCAGGACATTAAAATATAAATCATTCCCTTTTTCTTCTCACTTATCAAGTAATGGAGTCAAAGCCGCCTTCATGTGCTCAAGCAGTTTTGTCTTCTCTTCAGGATTAGCAGCAAGAATGGCCGACAGAGACCGACCACCATTATCTTTAAAGACAGCAAATTGAGGACCATAGAACTCTTGTACAAGCAGGGATCTCTCGGAAGCATTGGCGTAATCATTGTAAGCGAGTTCTACGAGTTCAACGGCTTCTTTGTGTCTCACGAGAGACTGTACGTGATTATAATAACATTTTATTAACTGACTTCTCTGAACTGGAGAGCTAATGAGGGTTGATGATGATAATAATAATGATAATGATGATGAAGAAAAAAAATTCTTTTTTCATTACCTGTATCTGAATAAAGCTTTGATGACAAATTTTGCATATCTTAATTTTGATAGCTCAACCACATGGCCTGCAGAGAATAAAGATAAATCATAAAAGGAAATAAGTATCGGGCTTGGACTATAGCCCAATTTTTTTTGGCTGTGAAGTCTCTCCCAATTTTTATTAAATTTTCTGATACATATTGATGTCCTTATGCTATGTAGCAAGTTTGAGCTGGTTCCAACTTCAATTTTTAAAGTTATGACCATTTTAAAGAAATTGCCAAATTTTTGAAAAATACCCAAGGCTATTATAGCCCATGGTTTTTTTCAAAAAATGGATCCAAAATCACCCCCAATTTTTATTACATTTTCTGATACATATTGATGTACTTATGCTATGTAGAAAGTTTGAGCTGATTCCGACTTCAATTTCTTGAGTTATGACCATTTTTAAGAACGAGCCAATTTTTGAAAAATACCCAAGGCTATAGCCCATGGTTTTTCCAAAAATTAGCTCCGAAATCATTCCCAATTTTTATTACATTTTCTGATACATATTGATGTCCTTATCCTACATGTATGTAGAAAGTTTGAGCTAAACCCGACTTGAATTTCTTGAGTTATGACGATTTTAAGAACGAGCCAATTTTTGAAAAATACCCAAGGCTATAGCCCATGGTTTTTCCAAAAATTAGCTCCAAAATCATCCCCAATTTTTATTACATTTTCTGATACATATTGATGTCCTTATCCTATGTAGAAAGTTTGAGCTAAATCCGACTTAAATTTCTTGAGTTATGACCATTTTAAGAATGAGCCAATTTTTGAAAAATACCCAAGGCTATAGCCCATGGTTTTTCCAAAAATTAGCTCTGAAATCATCCCCAATTTTTATTACATTTTCTGATACATATTGATGTCCTTATGCACTCACTCAACAAAGACCTGCGTTTACCTTTTAATTTATCATAAACTTTGTTTCTCATTTCTTGACTTCCAAATTTCAAAATACACTGAATAATCCTAGCAGTATCATGCTTCAACGATAACTATTAATAATCATTAATAGTTAATCATTAACTATGATGTCATATTACCTCATACACATTACCACTGATCAGACCCATCATATCATTAATAGATTTATCCCTTTCCTCCTTTTTCATGTCGTGCCTGTATAACAATTAATAACAAATTGACCACACCCACATAATTAGTAATAAACCACGCCCACCTCCTAACATGCTCCCATATTTGTTTTGCTTTGTTGATTCGTTCAAGTGAATCTGCTGGCAGTTTTCGCTGACGTCTGACAGAGAGTTTCTTCTTATCAAGTTCCTTCCTTGTCAAATTGGTTTTACCAGCCGTCACTAAAAAAAAACAGAAAAAAGACTTAACAAATAAATGAATAAATAAAAATACTTTTTGACTTTTTATTTGCTACAGAAAACTTGTCATTGTCTTGAAGCTTTCGCTTTTCGTTCCTCTCTTTGCCAGATGTCACAGGCTCCTTGTTCTTCTGTAGCTCTTTCTTTTTCTTATCTCTTTTTGTCATATTCTTTTTCACACTTTTCTTCCCTCCACCTGGGTGCTTCTTGCTACCACTCGCTTTCTTAAATTTTGATTTTCCCTTGACTCCTTTAGAGCCTCCAACGACTCTACAAGAAAAAAAAGACTCAAAAAGAGAGAAAAAAACTTAAAACTGACTTTGCCTTAGCCATTTTTTGCAGAGCAACACACCACGTGGGTAAAAAGTTAATAACCTAACCTAATAAGTATACACACCCACTCAATTAATTAATTAATTAATTATCACTATCAGGGTTCTTGTATTAAGATGCCTCTTTTCTTTCCCCTCTACTTCTGGCGTCTATACAAATGGCTCCTCCGTTTATTAACGAGGAAATGTGAGCTCCTACGTATCTGTGAGGGGACGGCAGACCTTGCCAGTAGGACCTTTGCTGTTGGTAAGAGAGAGCAAACAGAGAGAGGGTGGAGTTATATTAATTCTTTTATTATTATTATAGCTAGGTCATTGAAGAATTCAAAGCACAAGGTATAATACATTATTATTTTATTTGCTCGAAACTTTTGAGGATCTAAACTTTCACGATTGTGATAACAGTTTAACGAAAACTCTTTTGAATGACTAACTTTTGCAAGGTTATTCAACTTAGTTTTGTTCTTTTTTTAAAGGAGTTGCAATCCATTGCTTGGGTGACTCCAGCTGGCCAAGACGTCATTGATCCCGACGATGCTCTGAATCTCATTATAAAAACTAAAAAAATATCAACAGAGAAGCATCCAAAGTAAAAATAAATACAATTAAAACATTAATTATTATTAATTTTAAAATTTTTTTATAGTTTTGTGTCAAGTATCAAGCCGTGTTTATTGCCAATTATTGCACTCTCAGCGTTAAAAGGAGACATTGAGAAGATGAAATTCGAATCCTATTTGTCTGAAAATGACGAACATGAACAGCAGCTGACAAAAGCAAGAACACTTCATGATGGATATTGTTACGAACACTCTCTCCATCCCTCTCTCTTCTCTTTTTTAGCTTTGGTCTTTGCTAGTCCCCCAAACTGAGCTGAAGGCTCGTTTTGGGACCCACTGGGGTACTATAGGGTTTCAAGGTAAAGACCCTGCGACTGATTTCCGTGGCATGGGAATGCTAGGACTCTATTGCTTAGTGTGAGTAATGTGGAAGATAGAGGGGGTGTGGCTAATTAATTATTCATTAGTTATTTCGCCGAGATGCACTCAGGGAAGGCAAGACAAGTGCTTGGATTTTCACAGCATCCTACGAAAGGGTTAAAAATTAATAGTTTTATTATAATTTTATTGGTTTTAAACTCTGCCTCTTTTCTTTCCAAACTCCGTCCCCATTTTCTCTAGGTATCCATTGGCCATTACCAGTATCAATATAACACAGATTGTCTATTCGTTACTACTTAATAGTCATCTTGACTATTACTTATATTTAAAGTCAAGAGGGAACGTACCGACCATTAATGATTTCATGGAAGCACACTGTAAGACAGCTGGTACTAATAGTTCATAAGCTATAGATTAATATTGACCAAAAATGTAACCATATCATTTTGATATGTGTTAAAAGTACAGTTTAGTTTACCCATGTATCCTCAATTTTTTCCTTGCCCTTCTTTAGTTTCTCTCTCTTCTCTCCTTCGCTACTTTCTTATAAACCTTTTGTTGATCTGTCTCTTTCTCTCACTCTCCCTCCCTCTCTCTCTCTCTCCCTCTTTCTCTCACCCCTCTCTTTCTGAAGGTTATGTCATGTACAGTTTCAACCAGTTCTGGTTGGACTCTAATCCCGAGAATATAATGGCATTCTCGAGGGTAAGAGACCGTTACTTGTCGGAGCTTAAACGTCGTCTCGAAGAACGCCCACTCACAATTGAGCTATCACTAGAAGACGGATCTTCTTAATAATTTGAAAAATATAATTAATTATAGAATAATTATTATTATTATTGTTAGTGACTTTCAAAAATAATAGGTGAACAATAATTAATAATACTTGTTATTATCAGAATTTAGCATTAGTATTGTCATTAATGTTATCATTATTATTATATTACAGCCCATTTTCATTTAAAATTATCAATTTCACATAAATTTAATTTTTTTCCATAATATTATTTCTCATGTGATCCACCTCGATTTCTCCCTCCTCCTGTTTTCGGTGATTTTGCCATCATTGGCATCTCCCCCATCATCCTCAGCCACAACGACCCGCAAAGGATATTAACCACGGCTGATATGAGGCGATTCTCCTCCTCAACATAAGCCGAAATATCTCGCTGGCCTTGAGAAACCATGCTCACTTTTGGGTTCCTGTAAACGCATGAAAACCCTTGCTCTATGCCGGTATATATGGAGCCTTCTGTAGGAGGGTCCTCATCTTCTAGTAATAGTAATAGGAACATGTCCTGCCAGTCTTCATTGATGATTACCTACAGAAAATGTAACAGTTATAATAGTACAAGTAGATAAAAAACATTAAAATGGAAAAGTAGTAGGATTGAATTGGAAAAAAAGTAAAGAAACAAGAGGGTACTTGCAAATTGGTGCTACTATTATTAGAACAATAATGGTGGTAAGAAATCCTACACCATTGCATGAAGAAACAGAAGAATATTACCCAAAAGCATTGTAATTACTCACACAAGCTACTACATGATGCTGTATGAAGCCATGTCTTTCATGCAGTGGTGTAGGATTTCTTATCACACCAGTTTGCAAGTATCCTCTTATTTCTTTACTTTTTTTCCACTCACACTGTTAGTGTCACGCTTGCCATCAAAAATTTTACTCAAAACGTCAAATAAAGAGTCTTAGAAAGCTTTCAGAGTGTCATGAAGTCACAGCCTTACACTAGACAGACAGAAACTAAACATCTCATATGCTCCACAGTTACTCGTTGCTATGGTAACATCAATGAATATGATTAAATTAATTTAATGTGACCTGGACTATCTGGACATGGCTGTAGCTTCAGAACTAGGTAATTATAAAACAGAATACATGCATTCTTATAAAAACTATTACATAGGTAAAACTGATTTGGGCCTAGTTCTTAAAGTGCTCAAAGAAGCACAGTTTGGTGCAGCAAACTGGAAGGACCTAGGGCTTAATCTAAAAGTCTATATAAATACACTTGATATTATTGAAGGTACTAAAGGCAATGCTAAAGACTACTTGCAGAAGACTATACAAAAATGGCTTGAAAAGGAGGATGATGTCAAAAAAACAACATGGCTGATCCTAATAGATGCTGTCAAGGAAACTGGAGACAAAGCAGCTGCTGAAAGAATACCAGGTGTTGTTAGTAATAATTAATACATGTAAGTTTGAGGACTAAGACATTAAGAACAAAGACAAGTGAATCAAAAACAAGCTAATATATACTATTTGCAATAACTGTAGTTGCTCCCTCTTTATACTGTTAAATTAGGTATATATTTATATATATAATCTTTGTAAAAGCTAATTATTATAAAAAAGTTGAGTGTCAGATCCTGTGCTGCGCTTGAGAATAACCAAGTGACTGAAAAGTTCTTAAGGCCTTTCTACACTAGCACTTCTAATGCGCATTGAACTGGTTTGAAACTGGTTCCAGTCATTCTACACCTGATGCGCATTGACTTCAATGCACATTAAGCCAAACCACCTCCATATGTGGTTTGAATGCGCATTCAATAGATAACCAATGGCAGCTGGATCAGAAATACTATCAAAATATACATGATCTTGAAGATAGCGTGGAATCACCTGATGCGCATTCAATGTGAGCTGACTTCTGGAACTGGTTCAAGTGTAGAAAAGCCTTTAGAAACAAAAAGCATGAGTTAAACTACCAGCATTCCAGGTACTACTAAGACAGCATCAGCTCACTGTTTGTGCCACTGCAGTTGCAAGTACTATTAGATTTAATTTAGCACATCTCATATTAATTTTTGTAGCTTTACAGTACCATATAAAAATAGTCAGAATAATCTCCAGGAGCAGAATAACAATCTCAGTGAGTCAGCCATCAATGTGGTAGCCTGTGTGGATAATTACAATGCTTTTGGGTAATATTCTTCATGCAGTGGTGTAGGATTTGTTATCACACCAGTTTGCAAGTACCCTCTTGTTTCTTTACTTTTTTACAATCCAATTCTACTACTTTACTTTTCCATTTTAATGATTTTTTATTTACTTGTATAATACATATACATGTGTATACAGTATTATTGTGACAATGGTAATTGTAATTCATTATTTAAAGCTCATTCTTACTCCATATTTGACTCCATTGACTTTTGAAGTAAAATACTTGAACATACCATGGAACTTTTCCTCAAACAACCTAACAATGTATCAGAAAATGTAATAAAAATTGGGGGTGATTTTGGAGTTATTTTTTGGAAAAAACCATGGGCTATAGCCTTGAGTATTTTTTTTAATTTTGGGAATTTCTAAAATGGCCGTAATTTGAAAAATTGAAGTCGGAATCAGCTCAAACTTTCTACACAGCATAAGTACATCAATATGTATTAGAAAATGTAATAAAAATTGGAGGTAATTTCGGGGCCATTTTTTGGAAAAAAATCATGGGCTATAGCCTTGGGTATTTTTTTAAATTTTGGGATTTTCTTAAAATGGCTGTAACTTGAAAAATTGAAGTCGGAATCAGCTCAAACTTTCTAAACAGCATAAGTACATCAATATGTATTAGAAAATGTAATAAAAATTGGAGGTAATTTTGGGGCCATTTTTTGGAAAAAACCATGGGCTATGGCCTTGGGTATTTTTTTAAATTTTGGGATTTTCTTAAAATGGCTGTAACTTGAAAAATTGAAGTTGGAATCAGCTCAAACTTTCTACACAGCATAAGGGCATCAATATGTATCAGAAAATGTAACAAAAATTGGGGGTCATTGTTTAGTCATTTTTTGGAAAAAACCATGGGCTATAGCCTTGGGTATTTTTCAAAAATTGGGCATTTTTTAAAATGGGCATAACTCAAAAACTATTTGTTGGAATCAGCTCAAACTTTCCACATAGCAAAAGTACATCAATATGTATCAGAAAATGAATAATAAAATTGTATTACACTTACTGGAAGAGCCCCTTGTACCATTTTCTGGTTTGCTTCTGGAAATGAACTAATTGAGAATCAATGGATTCCAATCTACACGAAGTCACTAATTGCAATAGTTCCTGGAACTCCATAACTGATAATGCTTCCATCTGAAAAGAGAGAGGTAGGAGTTGCATTTTAATTTTAAATATTATTTTTTTTACTATTTTGTTTCCTCCTCCTCCATAAAGTAACCTCTTCCAAAGCTCATTTCGTCTCACGTGACTTTGAGCAGAATTAATAATATTAGTAAAGTGCCTCTGAAAAAGAAAATAATAACATTCGAATAAGTGAATTATTAAGTCCGTTACTATTAGAAAAATATTAAGTAAGTTACTATAAATAGATTATTAAAGTAGTCAGTTACTATTATTAAGGTAGTTACTATTATAGATTACCAAGCCCGTTACTATAAATAGATCATTAAATAATTTAAGTTACTATTAATAGATTATTAAGTCCATCACTATAAATAGATTATTAGGTACCTTAAGTCCACTCATCTCCTCTTCAATAATCTCTTGGTTGATGACTACCTCAGACACAGCACTGGGTGTGTTCAAACTCCCGTACCCTAACTTTCGTCTGTGATCTCTCACAGACGCGTTCAACTTGCTCTCTCTCTCCTTCTCCACCTCCAGCAATGTCTCCATTTTATGTCCTCCACTCCCCAGGGTAAAGCTAGTTGGGGACGTTATGTTACTATGATTGCTTAAAGGAGAAAGGACGGTTAGACGAGGGTACACCTCAACTTTATTCACAAGTATTAAATACACGCTTAGTGACAAGGATTTCTTGTTATGGGTGGAGATAGAATCTGATTGGCCGTTACTCAGTATGGCAAGGACAACTACATGATATTGTTCACGAGTGTCGTAAATCAGACGAGATATTTCGGGTGTGGTCACGTTCCCGATGTTTGACAGGTCGATCATTAGTGCTACCTCGTAGAGAGTGGTTGATGTGGGTGTGGCTGAATCAGAGCTGTTGGTTTTGGTGTGTAGTAACTCGAGAGTGTCTAGGCTATACTCCTTACAGTTTGATAGCAAGTGCTTCATTAGAGACTCCATCGTTACTGAGAGACTCATTAATAATGTCTCTAAAGAAAAAATAATAACAATAATGATCAACAACAACAACAACAACAACAACAACAACAATAATTATAATAGTATAAATTTTTTGATGCTGTGTTTAAGAAACTTTATTGCTATGAATATCAATATCAATTCTACATGCACTTAATTTTTGTGCTACTAATAAACACAGTGTGAATCCTACTCCATCAATCTTACCTTTACAGATCCTGTTCCTAATATAAAGTGGTGGGTTCTGGTAGTGTTTACAGAGCCGGTTCAAGAGGTGGTGTACGTTAAGTGTTCCGTCGATATTGATCCTTTTTTGAATGATGCTCAGTATCGTCCTTATATGGAAGTCATATGTGAAAGAGTGAACGTGAATAAAGTCTTTCATACGCCCACACTCTTGAGAGAAGCGGTCGGAAACCTAAAAGAGAGAGAGAGAATTTTAAAATAACGATTTGATCAGCTCAAATGCAACTATAGATGTACATGTAAAAATAAAGATTTATTAGGAAAAGGCACTATTACTATACTACATGATTCTATAATGGTAATTTTGTTGCTATTTAAATAAATACTAATTTTGTTACTTGTTATTGATCACTTCTCCATTTTTATTAATTAAATTCGTTAATTACCTCAAACGATGGTAGGTGTGTCATTGTTAATCTAGAACATTCTATAGAGTAGAGCATGACGTGAAATACCGACCCTTTGAACAGTAACTCAACTAGCATTATCCCTCCATTACTCCATGATCTCTGCAGACACTTATAGAGACCAAGGGACTCATGGTCGTGAAATGCGGCGGAGTGGGTGGGGCTAGGGGTGTGGCGAGACCGAGCCTGGCTAGCCGGAGGTCTCTCGTTAATTGGATGAAATTTTAAAGTCTGCAGGTAAGACGTGTACTCGTGGAGAAACTTATCTTTAAGTAGCTGGGTCCAGGTAGAATCCTAAAAATAATTTTAAAACAATTTAATAAAATATATTTCTTTTCTTTTTCTCACTTGTTCGTCTTGAAAGGCTCCTCCCACTTTAGCGCCTCCTCCTTCTTTGATGGACTGGGTTGTTGTTCCAGGAAAGAAGAGGAGGGGAGAGGAGCAGAAGTGAAGGAGACGAGAGGTCCTCTTCAGTTTAGCGATGACCTCAGTGCTGATTGGAGCAGAATTGTCTATGCCTCTCTGCTCCCATGATTCAAATACCTAGAGAATTATCAAATGTTAATACTACACTGGTATCAAGTGCTATAAAGTATAATATTTTCATTATGAGCAATTTTATTTACAACTAGAAAATTTTGGGAAAAGACCTAGAGCAAATTTCAAAATAACTCCAAACCAATTTTTAGTATATTTTCTGATACACGATGATCTTTTTATGTTACATTGTATGTGGAAAGTTTGAGCGATATTAATATCTTTTCAAGTAACATAATTATTACAATGATTGCCTATATACCTTTCCAAGTAGTTCCTTCTGTTTTGCAGTTTCTCTTTGATGGGAGAGCATCTCACGAAACTGGATCCCGTGACGAGTGACAGGGTCACTTGGTTTAGAAGGAAGAGGAGAGAGAGGTTGTTTGTCCTGATAGAATGAATCCAGTTCAATTTGAGGAGTGGGCGGAGCTGAACGCGAGAACTGACGAGTAATAGTAGCTGGCGACTAGAAAAAATAGAAATAATTTAGAAAAATTAAATTTATAATAAGATCATTAATTATTAATATACATTATTATTTTTAACTAAAAATTAAAGAAAATTATACAGTTAGTAGAACCACTTTTTAAAATAGACAGTAAAATTAGTACACATACTTATAATTAGAAATTGGCTTAACATACATGTACATGTACATGTATATGTACATGTACATCTAAATCTTCTCACCATTTCTTCAGGAGGTGGTCTGCTTTGCTTCACAATGATCCCAATATTCTGAGGAGTAGTACAGTATTTATTCGCCAGCTGGACAGCTGGGGATATGTCTTTGCCAGTCGTATGATGGAAGAGTCCCATTTTCTGTGAGAGGAGCTGATGGAGGAAACCAGTCCTTGTCGTCTGCCAGTTCAGTAGTGAGGTTAGTTGGACTTTGAGCTTCCTGAGTCGAGTCTCTGATACATTGTACAGCCAGACTTCAAACTGAGGGAGAGAGAGAGAGAATCAAGGCATGTACATAAGGATATTCTAAATTTTTTGTGTACTATAGTACAGGGACTTTGGCCTGATTTTTTTAGCAACTTAAAAATTTGTAAAAAATCTAATTTTGATCGGAATCAGCTCAAACTTTCTATGCAACATAAAAACATGTATATGTATCAGTAAATGTACATGTACCTTGCCACGCCCAATAGTTCCCATTAAAAACTGATGACGAGGTACAAAACAATTATGTTTTTTAGCGGCAGCTTGAAGAGGTAAAGAAGCCATGCCTACTTCCTTCCAGGACGCTAGCGGTAAGCACCTTAATGCATCAGACCACACCTCCTCAAAGTGCTTCGTTGGATCGCTAGGATCAGAGCTCTCCTTCCACTGCTGGAGGTCGCGACCAATCAAAATGTAATCAGTTGGAATAGGTGTGGCTTTGGGTGGAGTCTTATCACTAGGCAGGGGTATCTTGGAGTAGGTCTGATCTAATTTATCGTATTTGAATAAACTGAAACTCATTTCTGAGAGAGACGAAGAGGTATAAGAGACTGTGTGAGAGAGAAGAGGAGTGATGGAGTAGTTGGAAGGTAACGCCCATTCTTGATGGTATAAGACAGGAGAGGCAAACTCTTCCATTTTATGAAGAAAAAGGGGCAGAAAACGAGTGTAACCCTCACTCAAACTGCCTAGCAATCCAGTCCGTGCTTGATTGAGTAAGTTCTCTTTAGTGCTCTGTATTCGTCTCAACTTCTCCTTTTGCTCCCAATCTCCTCCTCCTCCCTTACCCACGTCCTCCATAGCATCCTCCTCGTTAATCTCAGAGAAGCTCGAGGTTCTCATGGTATCTCCGCTAGTGTTAACAGAGGGTGGGGCAACTGTAGAACTACCTTCCATTGAACTGTCAAGAGTGACATTAACAAAGGATCCCTGATCTATGGATGGGGTCTTACAGACGACGGATCGGAGTAGACCAGGAGAGAGTCTTTTTTCTATCTCTTCCTCGCTGATTGATGCGACTGGTATCTGGAGGTAATGAGACTCAAATAAAGTATCTAAGAGACTCCGTTTAACGCAGAGTACCAGCGTCTGCTTCAGTTTAGGTAGAGCAACGTTTCCTCTTTCCCATATATGGAAACCGACGGAGTACCTAGTGTCGTCTCTCACTGGAAAGGACTCTATCGTTTCTACTTGTGTTGCCTGTTCTAGTGTGGGCGGAGTCTGGAGTGGGGCGGGGCTTGGCTTGATCCCGGGGAGTGGCGGGAGAATGAGTCCCTCAGGAGATACCAAACTAGCTGATATAAGACCCATACCTATAAAAAAATAGCACGATATATCGTTGTTTAGTGCATGTTTGGATATTTTAGTGCATGTTTAGATATTTCAGTGCATGTTTGGATATTTCAGTATATCTTAGTATATTCTCTTACCTCTTCCTTTGTTAACTGGTCTGATATGCAAAAACAGATAATCCTGCTCTAGCTCAAGAGGTAGTGACGAGTCTTTCAATACCGTTGAAAGCTCTGGCGGGGTTTTTAACAAGACCCTATCTTTAGTATCAAGCACTGACGTATATTGAGGCTGAAGGAACATTAGTGACAGCTGCTGTAGAAGGTAAAAGAAGAAAGCATTAGGGTTTGGGATCCACTGAGGAAGGAGGAGGGACACGACTTCCGACGGTTGATTGGGTAATGGCTGCAGGAACTCGATGTCAGCTGGAGAGAGGTAGAGGCGGAGGTTTCGAGTGTAGGAGGAGCACATCAGCTCCAGAGCAGCATCATCTAACTTTAGTTGTATGACACGCTGTAACCTGCTCTTTAGGGTAACAGCTAAAGTAAGGAAGGAAAGAAAAACCAGTTAATTAAGCTAATGTAGACAGAAAGAAAATACAGTTAATGAAGTTCATGTAGACTATAGTAGAAAAGCCACTATATATGAGGTAATTCTATTGCTTGAAATCTGTGGCTACTTTGATGTTGTAAGCAATGTGTTGCCCTAGAATAGAACAGCTTTCTATTCTAGGCATTACAGTGTTGCCTGAAGATCAAAGTAACCACAGATTGCTTGCAATAGCATTGTCTGGTGTATAGTGGTCTTAAAAGATACATGCATGTATAGGAGAATAGAAATAGAATAGGAATATTCCTTGAATTGTATGTCTTTACTTGGTTCAGTGATTCCAAATAGTTCAAGGACAATGCTCTCACAGGATTTAGTGTCTTTATTGATACTGAAGCTGGAGGAGCTGAGATGCTTTGAAGTCTGCAACTGTCAAAAATATAAAAGAATATAATTATAATCTATTTTTAGGATTATTACTTCTCCAACTGATGATATACTCATAGTTTCAACTTCATTAGTAGCTCTAGTGTCACATCTTGCTGCATCTTCACCTCCTCCTTCATCTTGATCGACGAAATCTCCTTCAACTTCACAGAGTGACTCACTGATCCTGTTTAACAGGGACAGTAAACCAGTTTAACATGAAATCGCTTGTTACTTTAAATAGAATATTGTTTCTTCTCCTCCTTCAGTCACATCTTGAAGGACATATATGTCTGTTCTGTTGGTAACTGCAAACGCATTCAGTGCATTTCTGGTGATACGTAATGGAGTCTGATCTGAATATAAATAAAAATAATAAATAAATAATAATATCAGTGTAGCCTCTTTATTAAGGACACCGTTGGGCTCACACTACCTGTCCTTAATACATGTACAGTGTAGCCTCTTTATTAAGGACACCATTAGGTCCACACTACCTGTCCTTAATACAGAGGTGTCCTCATTTCAGAGGTACTTTTGTATAGGCTTGTACTAATTGGGACATTACAAAATGTCCTCATTATAAAGGTGTCCTTATTATTACAAAGATGTCCTCATACATACACAGCTGCTCTTTGCCTCTCTTTCCTTACTCTTCATTGTCCTTAGTCTCCAGTGTGGGGTGATATGGTGTCTCCATTGTCTCTCACACTCAAACTGCTGCTGGTAGAATCTCTCTCCTCCATATATAATGTCTCCATGATGACTCACAGTGTGTCGTACCCACTCATCCGATTGGGACTCGGGAAGAAGTAGTGGGCTACATACATGAGTATCCAATAACTCTTTCAACAAGTGCCACTGTACAATAAATAAACAAACAAATAAATAAACAAAGAAATAAATGAATGAATAAATAAATAAATATTGATAATACCTGATTTGTCCTTTTACACACTCTACTGATTGCAGATAGAATTGAGCTACACAACTTCTTTATGCCCGAGTTATCATCAGCAATAAAATCCTTAGACGAACACCTAAAACAATAAAACAATTTATAAATAAAATATACTAAAATATACTAAAATATACTAGAATATACTAAAATATACTAGAATATACTAATAATATACTAATATGCCTACCTGTTGTGTACATAGACCTCAACTTTAGAAGGCAGCACTCTCATTACAATCCAGAACAACTCCTCATTAAGGACATTATTAAAAGGAGACAACGGGCTAATGAAACTAGCAGTGCTGTTAGACCTACTGGCATAATAATCAACAGTACCAGCTCCATTGATAGAACTAATACTACTACGAGACTGAGGGGTGGGGAGAGGAGAGAGGGTGGAGAGGGACACGTGGGTCGGTAAAGAAGAAGTCGCCGTCCACGAGACGCTTCGTTTGTGTCTAATGGTTAAACGAGGGGGAGCAGGAGAGGGGGAGGGGGTGCTACAGCGACCATGGAGAGATCTCTTGTCTTTGTTTGGGACGTGTAAGGGAGAGAGTGAAGATGATTGACGCTGAGAGGAAGAGTTGAAGAGAGGGTAGGCAGAGGAGGAATGGGTGCAAGGAGTGAGGTAGAAGTAGTCGTCACTCGCTTTGTGGATTGTGTATGCAGTTAACTTAATGTCTTCAAGTTGCTGGAGGGAGAAAGAGAGAGGGAGAGAAAGAGGGAGAGAGGACAGATCAAAAATGAGAAATAAAGACTACATAAAAGTGGAAAAAATTTTATGATTATAATAAAGGAGCTCAATTATTGGTTGATAGAAAAACACACCCAATAGCTAGACTAGTGTACACGTACATGCATACATAGTTGATGAAAGAATTTTGGCAGCTATCTTGTAGTTAAAGATTGGTATGCTTAAATTAGTCAAATTTATACCCATATCATTGAGCATGCACATAACAGTCCAAAACATCAAACTTTATTTTGGCAAACAGCCATTAAGTTGCCACACCAAAGACACCCACCATGCATGTACATTATACTTTCTTTGCTCACCTGCAAGAACTGATGCATTGAGTTCTGTGCTCCAAACACAAACTTAATGACCTCGTGATTGAACAAGCAGTTGACGTACTTCCCTGAACTGCTCTGAACATGAGATGCCACTGACTGGAGTAATGATGGACTCACTCCTTCTCCTTCACTAACTAGCTCCCTTGATCTGGAGAGAACCTCGTCCTGAATTAACCATTCAACCTGTGGAGAAATACATTATTAACAAAGAACTGAGACTAACAGTCGATTGATTGTTTAAAGTTTATAGCATTAAATAGCTTTTAGAAAAGATATAAAATTTGCAAGAACGTTACAATTTTCATTTATTTCCTCCATACTTTGTGTTTAAGTGATCTGGCTATCCTTTGGAAGTGCTGCTGCATCATCAGTATTGGATCAAACTCTGTTCTCTTTTGCTCCTCTTCCTCCTCCTCCTTCTCCTCCTCATCAAGACTCTCACCCTCAGAGTCAAGAAGAGAATAAAACGTGAGATTAAGTTGTAACGAACAGTGAGAGTCACCCTCTAACTGAAAACTCGAGAGAAGCGATTCTACATTGAAAAAAAGAAATATATGTAAGCTTTGAGTGATTTAATTTTCAAAAATATAAAAAGCATTCACAGCCAAAAAATTCTACATCATACATACAGAAGCCATTAATTTCAAAGCACATTTCAATTATTAATAAAAATGCTATATTTCAATGTAACTTCTTACTTAAGCACAATGGCAGTTTTCCTTCCTTCAAAGGCTCAGTCAATGTATCCTCATCCATTTCAATACTTCTCTCCTTCTTTCCCCTTCTTTCATATTTCTTGCTCTCTTCTCCAGCATCTCTCCCTCTCTCATCTCCTCTCTCGTCCTCCCTCTTTTTCAAGCTAGGACAGTGTTTCAACGAGTAACTAAGCTCAAGGAATAATGGTGAGGTTTGAGTTTGAACTGGAGGGCTGACAGCATCCGAGGTTGGAGACAGGATAGGCTCCAGTTCCCATGTCTCGTCCTCACTGTCACTAGCAGGAACTGGAGGATGTGGTACCGGTATCGGTTTCGGTTTGAGGGTTGTATCAGGAGAGAAAGGAGGAGGAGTAACCGACTTATCTCTTGTGTCTTCATTCTCTTCATATATACCAATGGTGGGAGTCATCTATCAATGAGTAAAATATAATTAGCATCTAATGAAGGATGATTTGTTCATGTAGAAAAACATGTTACAGGTGTGAGTGACTACATTCCACTATGCATCTAAACTAACATTATATCTACTACCACAGTACATTTATTATTACATGAGATGGTCAATGTGTCATGCATCTATGGCATTTACTCTACTAAGAATAATTGCTACATGCTCAAACAAATTACACCTGTCACATGGAATTCATTCTAAGAATAAAGCCTGATCGTCAAAGCATGAAAATTTCCTTTCATATAAAACAAGTAATTACTCCAAATATAAAGTCTACAACTGGACTCTCTATCTTTTTTACTCTCCATCTTTTTTTACAAGGTCATCTACACTAGGCATCAGCCAAACCAACAGCAGCACTCCAGTCCATACTAGCTAGTTACAATGGATCATGGGTCATTGTTCTTCTTACTGTTAGTGCTACTGACAGTTCCTACTGAAGGATCTTATTGTATGACTACTGACTGTCCTAATACTGGATCAGGTGGACTATCATTGTATCTAAGAGTATGCTGTGTTGTTAGTAACTTAGGACAGTCTGTTACTATCAGGGAACCTGGTGCTAATAAATACATTCTATGTCCTAAAATACGACCAAAGTCATGTCCATCAGGTACAATACTGTATAGCAGGAATAATTAGTTATAACAATAAGAGTAGATAATGTACATATTATAGATATAGATCTCAGTGATTGTAAGAGCTTGTTTGAGGATGGTAATAATGCAAGTGGTGTTTATACTATTAATCCTGATGGAGGGACTCCATTTGAAGTTAGTTAAATCCTTAGTTCTTCATTTATAATGATACACTATATTGTATCACAGGTATACTGTGATATGGAGACTGATGGTGGTGGATGGACTGTATTTCAGAGGAGACAAGATGGATCTGTTGATTTCTATAGGAACTGGACTGACTATGAGAATGGATTTGGTGACCTTACTGGTGAGTTTTGGTTAGGATTGAGCAAGATTCATCGTCTTACTAAAGAAGGATCAAACACACTAAGAGTGGACCTGGGAGACTTTGAGGGGAACACAACTTATGCTAACTACTCTACATTTAACGTTAGTGATGGTAGTACTGAATATATACTAACAGTAGGAGGATACTCTGGTACTGCTGGGGATAGTTTGGCCTGGCATAATGGAAGGAGATTCAGTACATATGATAATGATAATGATCCATGGTCAGGAGGTAACTGTGCTCAGGACCACGCTGGTGCCTGGTGGCATAATGCCTGCTATCACTCAAGTCTTAATGGTCGTTATTTTAATACTTCAACTAGTAGTGATCAAGGAATTATTTGGTGGGATTGGAAACAAACTACTTTGCACTTCTCAGAAATGAAAATTTGTCGTGACTCGTAACAATTAATACTGTCTCTCCCACACACACATAAGTGTGTTTACATTGTGCTGATATATTATCATGTCATTTCAATATTACAGTCTGTCATACCTTGTAGTGATTACATGTATTGACTATTTTTGCTTTATTAATTTACAACTGCAATAATTAATAGTGTGTGGGTGGGTAACAGGAATTACTAAACTATGGTATAATTTTTGCTAGTCTACAGTTGGTATATACTTAATAGCTATACCACGAGGTGATAACAAAAATTATTCTAAAAATGATGTAATTGAACTAAATAACATGTCACTATACAAACACAATCATCCCATTATGTCAAATATGACTACTGCTATCATGCCAAAAAATAAATAAACATTTCCTATTGCATAATTACCAACACTTTCCGTCAGTGCTATCTAAGGCTATCAATTGGACTCTCTATCTCATTTTCAAAATCAATTCAAACCAACAGCAACACCCCAGTCCATACTAGCTAGCTATAATGGATCATGGGTCATTGTTCTTCTTACTGTTAGTGCTGCTGACAGTTCCTACTGAAGGATCTTATTGTATGACTACTGACTGTCCTAATACTGAGTCAGGTGGACTATCACTGTATCTAAGTGCATGCTGTGTTGTTAGTAACTTAGGACAGTCTGTTACTATCAGTGAATCTGGTATTAATAAATATATTCTATGTCCTAAAGTACGGCCAAAGTCATGCCCAGGTATATACTGCAATGTATGACTGAAATAGTTAGTTATTATACTTATTGTGTAGCTATCAGTGATTGTAAGAGCTTGTTTGAGGATGGTAATAATGCAAGTGGTGTTTATACTATCAGTCCTGATGGAGGGACTCCATTTGAAGTTAGTTAAAACTCTTCATCATTTATGATTATTGGATCACAGGTATACTGTGATATGGAAACAGATGGTGGTGGATGGGCTGTATTTCAGAGGAGAGAAGATGGATCTGTTGATTTCTATAGATACTGGGCTGACTACATGAATGGATTTGGTAACCTTACTGGTGAGTTTTGGCTAGGATTGAGCAAGATTCACTGCCTTACTAAAGGAAGATCAAACACACTAAGAGTTGAGCTACAAGAATTTAATAATAATATTACGATCTATGCCGAGTTCTCTAGATTCAACATTGGTGATAACAATACTGAATACACACTATCAGTAGGAGGATATTCTGGTACTGCTCAAAATAGCATGTATCTTCATGATGGAATGAGATTCAGTACAAGAGATGACGATAATGACCTTGGTCCAGATTACAGCTGCGCTATTGGACACACTGGTGCCTGGTGGTATCGTGGTTGCCATGTTGCATGTCTTAACGGTCAATATTTTCAGACTCCAGTTAATAATGCTAATGGAATCGTTTGGTACGAGTATAACAAAAATTACGTTGTTTTCAAGTTCTCAGAGATGAAAGTTCGCCGTAACAATTAAATACTGTCCCCCACATACATAAGTGTGTTTACATTGTGCTGATATATTATCATGTCATTTCAATATTACAGTCTGTGATACCTTGTAGTGATTATATACGTATTGACTATATTTTTGCTTTATTAATTGACAAATGCAATAATTAATAGTGTGTGGGTGGGTAACAGGAACAGTATAATTTTGCTATATTGCTATATTCCAAGGTGATAACAAAAATTATGATGTAATGGAACTAAATAACATGTCACTATAGAAACACAATCATCCCAGGCATCAAATATGGCTACTACTATCATGTCAAAAAATAAATAAATGTTTCCTATTTCATATTTACCATCTAAGGCTATCAGTTGGACTCTTCATCTTATTTTCAAAATCATCTCAAACAAACAGTAGCACTCCAGTCCATACTAGCTAGCAACAATGGATCATGGGTCATTGTTCTTCTTACTGTTAGTGCTACTGACAGTTCCTACTGAAGGATCTCATTGTATGACTACTGGCTGTAGATCAGGTGGACTATCACTGTATCTAAGAGTATGCTGTGTTGTTAGTAACTTAGGACAGTCTGTTTCTATGAGAGGATCTGGTACTTATAAACATTTGCATATTATCTGTCCTAAAGTACGGCCAAAGTCATGCCCAGGTATATACTGCAATGTATGACTGAAATAGTTAGTTATTATACTTATTGTGTAGCTATCAGTGACTGTAAGAGCTTGTTTGAGGATGGTAAAAATGTGAGTGGTGTTTATACTGTTAATCCTGATGGGGCTCCATTTGAAGTTAGTTAAATCCTTAGTTCTTCATTTATAATGATACACTATATTGGATCACAGGTATACTGTGATATGGAGACTGATGGTGGTGGATGGACTGTATTTCAGAGGAGACAAGATGGATCTGTTTATTTCTATAGGAACTGGACTAACTACAAAAATGGATTTGGCAACTTTACTGGTGAGTTTTGGTTAGGATTGAGCAAGATTCATCGACTAACTAAAGAAGGATCAGACACACTAAGAGTGGACCTGGAAGACTTTGATGGGAACACAGCTTATGCTAAATTCTCCACATTCAGTATTGGTGATGAAAGTACTGATTATACACTAACAGCAGAAGGATACTCTGGTACCGCTGGGAATAGTCTGTTCTGGCATAATGGAAGGAGGTTCAGTACATATGATAATGATAATGATCTTTCATCAAGTAACTGTGCTCAGAGGAAAAGTGGTGCCTGGTGGTATTGGGATTGTGAGCGTGCAAATCTTAATGGCCTTTATTATACTACTCAAGTGAATAGTGGTAAAGCCATCACTTGGCAGCATTGGAGAGGGTACAATAGCCTCAAGTTCTCAGAGATGAAAACCCGTCGTAACAATTAAATACTGTCCCCCTCCCAAACACATAAGTGTTTTTACATTGTGCTGATATATTATTATTTCATTTCAATATTACAGTCTGTCATACCTTGTAGTGATTATTTGCCATTACTTTTTTATTGATAGTAATAAATAATAATAATTGGTTTCTACTACACAGGCGGGGCTGATGCGTTACATGAAATTCATTAGTCCATTATTGTCAATATTAATTAATTGGGAGGAGCCTTAGCTTATCTCACTAAGACAAAAAAGCTAGAAGTACATCTGTCTAATAGATCTACTACAACTAAACACATAACAATTAATGCTAATAGTTAAAGTTAAAGAATCAACACAATTGATCTACGTATACCATTGACTGAGTGTAGTATAAAACAAGACATGATCATAATACATACTGAAGATTTAAATAACAGTAGTGGAAGGAGAGAGAAAAGTATAGAAATAGCCATTATAACTACATACTATTGACTTTTTATCATAGTATTGCATCAGTTTAGAGTTTAATGAGTAGAGCACTTGTCAACTTTCACAAAAATTTTCTACCAAACGTAATAAAGAGTGTGGGCAGTGCCTTAATGTTGGGGTGTAGCTAATATAAATACAATTTCATGCATAAATTATTAATACATGCTTCAAATTCCAATCCTTGCTTCCTGTAGTAACTAGTAAAGTGTTAAAGATGTCCATCTTTATGATTGTGCTGCTGTGTTTAGTTACCATTAATGAAGGAGAAGGATCTTATTGTATGGCTGATTGTACTGGAAATAAACATGAACCATCACTGTATATAAGGACATGCTGTAACAGCAGTAACTTAGGACAGACTATTTGTATGAGAGAAGGAAGAGTGAAGACTATCATGATATGTCCTGATGTAAGACTACAAGCCTGTCCACCGCTAAGTAAATAAACTAATAGTTAAAACATTAATAATATACTGACACTATAAAACTAGATATCAGTGGTGATTGTAAGAGCTTGTTTGAGGATGGTAATACTACAAGTGGTGTTTATACTGTTAATCCTGATGGAGGGACTCCATTTGAAGTTAGTTAAAGCAATCCTTCATCATTTATAATGATACACTATATTGGATCACAGGTATACTGTGATATGGAGACTGATGGTGGTGGATGGACTGTATTTCAGAGGAGACAAGATGGATCTGTTGATTTCTATAGATACTGGGCTGACTATGAGAATGGATTTGGTGACCTTACTGGTGAGTTTTGGTTAGGATTGAGCAAGATTCATCGTCTTACTAAAGAAGGATCAAACACACTAAGAGTGGACCTGGGAGACTTTGAGGGGAACACAACTTATGCTAACTACTCTACATTTAATGTTAGTGATGGTAGTACTGAATATATACTGACAGTAGGAGGATACTCTGGTACTGCTGGGGATAGTTTAGCATATCATAATGGAAGCAGATTCACTACAAGAGATAATGATAATGATGGATGGCTAAGTGGTAACTGTGCTAATGAACGCACTGGTGCCTGGTGGTATAATAACAGTGAACGTTCAAATCTTAATGGTATTTATCAACAAGCTCAAGATAATCATCCTATTTTTGGAGGAAATGATGATGGAATTACTTGGCAAGATTGGAAAGACAACTACATTAATCTCAAGTTCTCAGAGATGAAAACTCGTTGTAACAATTAAATATTGTCCCCCACACACATAAGTGTGCTTACATTGTGCTGATATAATATTATGTCATTTCAATATTACAGTCTGTCATACCTTGTAGTGATTATACTGACTATTGCTGTTTAATCAATTAAAAAATAACTACAATAATTAATAGTGTGTGGGTGGGTAAAAGGAATCAATAAACTATAATGGTGATTGATACAACCATCAGAGTACATTTATTTCTAATGAAAAAGAACAGTGTATATTAGCAGTGTATATCTGATAAACTTAATAGCAATATATTTGCAAAAATTATTTAAAACATGATAGAACTATCATGTCACTATTTAAATGCACTCATCAAATATTGATTTATTAATATATAAAGAGAGACACAGACAATAAAGCAAGCAGCTCTAGATGCATATACTTTTCTAATACAGTAGTAGCTAAGTAGACACTGAAGCAGTGGTTAGACTATCTACAGTACTAGATCTAGCAGTAACAAGACCAACATAAAGGAAACACATTCATACCATCCATTATGAAAGTTTCTGTTTTTAGAAACAAATTAGGTTTTGTACATAGTTTAAGTTTTGTTTATCACAACAGTAAACACCTAAGCAATCACATAAATTCCAGTCCTTTGAATAGTAACATGTCAAAGATGATCATCTTTATGATGCTGTTGTCCTTACTAGTTACCATGATG